GAAAAAAATTACTACAGTAAGTAGCTTTTCAGCTTACTTTCCCAACAATATGACTAATGGATAATAAATTCTGCAAGTAGTCATACTAATGGCAACTTTAACCTTCTTAAGCATGACCCACATTAGTACTCAAGTGCAACATATTAGTGGCTATTCTCATGATGCATCAGCAATGAACTTAGCTTGAGCTGCATCCATTGGGAGGGACGTGAAGGAAGAAGAAAGAGTCGCAGTTGATATTTAGTGTCTTTACCAATAGAAAAACACTATAATTCTTTGAATTCGTTTTTTAATTAAAAAAACTGGTTCTTTCTTTAAACTTAGTTGCTAAAACAGTGTTTATGAATATTCTCCTCCTGCCCAAAATTGGCCAATGAGGTAGTAGGTTAAACAACACACTAAGCCTGTTTTGATTTAAAATGTGTCCATTTCATTTTTCTCCAACTTCAAGAATATTTTAATAATCCATTTGTATCCTTATTTTATGGATTCCAGAATAACATAAGCAAATGGGGCCTTTGTTTACCTTCTAGTTATACATATCTTCTAGTTAATCTTTTTCTTATTAAAGAAAAAGCCATCAAAATCCATTTTCCATTAAACATTCTTTCAGAGAAGATGTGAACACAGATCCAGAAACATCGGTAAGTCTTGGCAGACAGCATATCAAGTAGCCTAATATGTTTTTTACTCTGCTAAGTAACACTGGGAAGGTAACAGGGTGGGCTCCTCCTCAGAGTGAAGTTAAGAGAGAAAAGTGCTAGCATGACAACTTATTAGCACTTTCCCCTGGAAGAAATTAACTCTCACATCCTTGTTTTTGTTGTATCTATAAACCCGAGGGATGAGGTAAAACAAAAAATCTCATGTGCATAACCTAGTCTACCCTATGTTTCTATTACTATGAAGGGTCAGTCTGAATGAAAATATTTTAACTTTACTATGATCCTTCATAGTAATAGACTCATGGGGTAGAAAAGGTCTTATGTAAGAAGTAACTACTATCAAAATATATTAAGTTTGTGTTTGAGATAACTCATAGGAAGTGAAATCTCACAGGAAATGATAAAAGATTTAGAGTGATTTCCTAAGGTGAATTTGGATCATAATATCAATATCATTAAAATGTCAACATTACCTAAAGTGATCTACAGAAGTAATGAAATCTCCATCAAAATACCACCAGCATTCTTTATAGATCTAGAAAAAATAATTCTTCACTTTGTATGGAACCAGAGAAAACCACATATAGCCAAAGCAATCTTAAGTAAAAAGAACAAACTGGGAGGCATCAGTCTTCCTGACTTCAAGCTGTACTATAAAGCAATAATAGTTAAATCAACCTGGTGCTGGCACAAAAACAGAAGCATCAATATCTGGAATAGATCTGAGATACCAGAGATGAAACCATCAGTATATGGTAACCTAATCTTTGATAAAGCTGACAAAAATATACAATGGGAAAAAGATTCTCTCTTCAATAAATGGTGCTGGGAAAACTGGTTAGCAACATGCAGAAGAGTGAATCAGGATCCCAACCTCTCACTTCTCACAAAAATTCATTTAAGATGGATAACAGACTTAAACCTAAGGCATAAAACCTTAAGAATCCTAGAAGAAGATGCTGGGAAAACCCTATCAGATATTGGTCTAGGCAAAGAATTTTTGAGGAAGATCCCCCAAGGCATTCACTGCTGCATCAAAAATAAACAAATGGGATCTGATCAAATTAAAAAGTTTCTGCACAACCAAGGAAACTATCATTAGAGCAAATAGACAACCCACAGAGTGGGAAAAAATATTTGTTCTCTACACTTCTGATAAAGGTCTAATAACAAGAATCTATCTAGAACTTAAAAGAATTAACAAGAAAAAAATCAAACAACCCCATCAATAAATGGGCAACATAAATAAGCAGAAACATCTCCAAAGAAGACAGAATAATGGCCTGCAAACATATAAAAAATGCTCAACATCTCTAATCATCAGAGAAATGCAAATCAAAACCACAATGAGATACTACCTAACCCCAGTAAGAATGGCCTATATCAAGAAATCCCAAAACAACAAATGCTGGCAAGGATGTGGAGAGACAGGAACACTCTTACACTGCTGGTGGGACTGCAAATTAGTGCAACCTCTGTGGAAAAGAATCTGGAGATACCTCAAACAGCTAGAAATAGAAATACCATTCGACCAGCAATAGCATTGTTGGGCATCTACCCAAAAGAACATAAGACATTCTATTATAAAGGCATCTGCACCTGAATGTTTATGGCAGCACAATCCACTATTGCAAGGTCATGAAAACAACCCAAGTGCCCATCAATTCATGAGTGGATAACTAAAATTTGGTATATGGCCACAATGGAATATTATTCAATTCTAAGAAACGACAGTGAACTAGCACCGTTTATGCTATCCTGGATTAAGCTTAAGCCCATTATACAAAGCAAGGCGACACAAGATCTGGAAAATGGGCTCCACATGTACTTGCCATCAAATTGGTACTGACTGATTAAAACTATGGTGCTCAAATAGTGATAGTACTCACCAGGGATTAGGGGGTGGAGACCCACATCCTAGGGATGTGGTGAGCATTGTGCGGGGGGAGAGATTACCTCTAACCCTTTTTAGGAAGAGGCAAAGATATACAATGTAACCAAAATATCTAAAAAAAAAATCTGTTATTGGGTGGTGGACAGGTGGGAGAGGGGAAGAGGGGAAGGGTGTATACTTACATAATGGGTGCTGTGTGCACCACCTGGGGGTTGGACATGCTTGAAGCTCTGGCATGGTGGGGTGGGGCAGGGGTGGCAGGGGCAATATATGTAACCCTAACAATATTTGTACCCCCATAATAATAAGTAAAAAAGATAATACAATTCACCAATGCCACAATTTTACAGAGATAAGCCTTCAATGTCATATTAACCACTCTATTTTTAATATTAGAATTTCAAAGTTTCTTAAGAATCAGAAATTTCAGCATTCTCAAATGAAGAATGTTAATTATATGTTACTTTTTTAAAATTTGAAAACCAAATTTGAGAAATCATTATACTTTTATTTTACAGAAGAGTGCTACTTGCAACCAGCATCTATATATTTAAAGAATGGTTAGTGACTAAATTCTCTGCACCAATAAAAAGTACTTAATCCATATTTTAGTAAGTTGATTGTTAAATGGTTGCTCTTTGGCAAAAGTTTAAATATATACATTCACAGATATTTTTACTTCTAACAATCAGTAAAGATGTATCTCTTTTTCTTTCACTTTGTGTTTAATAATTTAAAACTTACCAGATGATAAACACCAGATCATAAAGAAGTCAACAAATCTTAATAATCTTAAAATATATCAAAGAGGGAAGTAATGCACAAACATACAGAATGCATTTATCTGTACTTGTTTTGAATAAATAAGGAAAAAACTACATAATTGCCTAATTTAAATTTTATACAACTTTCCTTAAAATATTTTTCTTATTTCAAAGATGAATTTATTTTCAAATAAGAAGATAAAGTAAAAAAATCACAAAGAGTGACAGTGGATGATGTATCAGTGAAATGTGGTTCATCTGTTTTGCTGTCTTGTAAAAAGTGCAGAGAGCAGTGGGTGGTAGTGTTTTATTCTCTATAACCCTATAAAGTTCCAGCTATCAAAATCTTCTGTGGAATAAAATAAGTGACTGTAAAAGTTTTAGTGATTATGTGATGCCTACATTCACTAATAAAATGCACTATATCTTTGTTGACTGCTTCCCCATCCTGGACAGGTCTTTGAGAAAAAAACAAAAAACAAAAATGTGTATTATTCATCAAGATGTGTCCTTCATATATTTCTATATTAAGAGAGCAATACAGTAGAAATAGAAAATCCTTCATCAGTCACTTAAAGAAACATCAATAGAGATGTAGCGTTCTGAGAAGAGATCATTTGTTGAGAGCAGACTTAAGACAGAGAGTATCTATATTCATTCTTTCAAAAATAACACAAATGAGAAGATGGAAATTAAGTTATGTAATAATAATGCTGAACTGGTATATTTTCAATTTGCCCTGATGTGGACAAATGACATGGTCTGATCTAATTACCCCTTGGCAGGCAGTTGGTATCTGGAATATGAAGGATGTAGCATCATTGATTTTACATAATTGGCTTACTGAATCCAAATGGTGGCTCCATGCAATTATCAAATAACCACTGTGTCAATATTAGTTCCTGCAACTATCCCCATAAAGTTAATTCCACTCCTCTGCTACCTCAGTGTGTGCATAAACCTTAATGAAACATGTTCCAGTTAATGGCATATATTCAGTTTTGGGTAATCTATGAGAATTTGGCCCCATGCTCGTAAAGCTGTGATTAGAATAGCAGATTTAAAGCAGATCATGTCAACGCTGTCCTTCCTTACAGTGAGCAGCCTTCAGTTTAAATTCTAAAAGCAATTAGATGAGAGGATAACACACATGATATTTATGTCTAGAACAGTCCAAAATTTGGAAAAGGAATTGGAGCTCTTCTGTTAATGCTAACTTTTCTTTAAAAAAAGAAACCCTGAAAAGATACTCTGTACAACTGCAGTCGCCAACCCCTGGGGACCAGGCCACAGAGCTCCTCCACCTCCCCAACCCCCATCCTATCCATGGAAAAATTAAAAATTGTCCTCCATGGAACCTGGGAAGCTGGGGGCTGCACAGGAGGTGAGCAGTAGGCGAGTAAGGAGGCGCACGAGCCAGGGAGCGTATTTATAGCCGCTGCTGCTCCCCAGCACCCACCCCTCCATGAAACCAGTCCCTGATGCCAAAAAGGTTGGGGACTGCTGCGAGTGTAGAACATAATATAGTCACAGGAAGTCAAAGGCAAATTGGTAACAACCTTTAGAAAAGAGAAATATAGACTGATAAAGAAAAACTGACATAATTTCTCAATATTTGGGGGAAATAAGTTTAGGATTATGTTTCATTCAGGTATTACTATAAATGAAGGATAACTCTTTCAGTGTAAGAAGCAGTGTTTATATCTGGTTGTAAATGTAGTTAAAAACATAATCACAATTTACAAAAGCTATAGTTACAAATTACAAAGAAAAATAGGCAGACTATCTTGTATTGCCATCCCTTATGCACTTCGTTACCTATCGAGTTTCTGTTCCATTACAAAATTAAATAGCTAACATTCAATATTGATTTCAACATTAAAATTTATCAAAATGATTAAAAACAGTCAATTAGAAAAAGCAATACACCAAAAATAACAGTAATATTTCCAGGTTTCTACTGCATCGTACTGACCACACAGACAGGGAGGGACAGGGCTGCTCAGTTTCGGCAGGCCCCTTGGCTCTGTGTTCCAGAACACGGAAATGCCAGGGAAGGTGACAAAGGAGCACTCCCTGCTTTACAAATATCAGCAGAGGACCAAAAAAGGGATCCCAGGTAAGTTTCCAAGTAACAAAAACATCAGAGTGGAACTCTTACATCTGAACAAAAGTTCTGTCACATTTTTTTAAGAAAGTAGGAGCAAAGCTTTGCAGCCATTTTCTCACCTAAAACCCACAATTCCTACACAAATTAAACCAGTTTTGGAAGAGAGCCTTTGACAGACAGGGATGAATGACCATCCCTAACTCACTGTCCCTAAACTGATCATGGAGGAATGTGTTTCGCTGAGGGGGAGGGGCGTCCCAGAGCTCTGAGGCTGCAGCGCTGTAACCGCCAGCTGACTGCAGTGCGCCCACCACGCGTGCCCTGGTGGCAAGCAGGAAAGTCAGGCAGTCACGGTGACAGATTCGCCACAGCTGCCGATCGCAGGACACACTCTTGCTCTCACTGACTGTGTTTTGGACATCAAACTCACTTGCTAGAGCCATCTTAGCACTCTTCATTTTTGGAGATTTTCGACTCATTTTCTTTGCGTAACTTTCTCTGTTGATAAATTCGTACGGCTATGGCAGTGATACAGAGCAAAATGAATATCACAACTGCTATGACACCTAGGGAAGGGAGAAAAAAAAAGGATGTCAAAACACAAATGGTAATTTTTGTCCCAACCAGAGGCTTTGCAGAAGAAGGAAATGAAAGTATTTTGCTCCAAAATATACTTCTGCCACCTATGTTGAGCTGGCTGTTCAGAAGGCCTGCAAACAGAAGGAGCCCCGCAAAGCTGTCTTTTGTGCGGGAGATTTGCATCTTTAGAGAAAAATCTGCATTGATGCAGCCAGGCTTTCTCAGAGCTCTTCCCTTTTCTGGATCTAGGAAATATTAACTGAGAGCCCAGTGCCTCTTTTCTCTGAGGGTTGCTACCTGTGAGGTTTCATCTACCTAACAAGCCTCTTCTTCTTCAACCTCCCATAGCCTGTTTTGCCAGCATCCAAGCCCCTATTCTTTCTGCAACCTTGAGCTGGTATACAGGCTTCTGAACCCCACTGGGGAGGCAGTCCCTCTGTGGTTCTCCCCCATGTGCACCTTCGTAAATTTGTATGCCTTTTCTCTTACTGATCTCCTTTTGTGAGTCGATTTTTCAGTCAACCTTCCGAGGGCAAAGGGGAAGTTTTCCCATGGCCCTTACACAAACATCATTGCTTAATAAGTTAGGTTAAAATAAAACAACCATCTATTATACCATAAATTGCAAACATCAAAACTCAGGAATTTTAAGGCCAAGTGGTTTTATAATATTTTATATATTTCTGAGTTACTACGACTTTTAGATATGGCTGTCATAGGCTTTTTTCCTAAAGACATATGTTAATTAGATTTCAGCTAACACCTTCAGACTTAAAAGCACTATAAACTAAAAATTCTAAGCCTCCCACTGACTAAATGGGTGACAGAGGTAAAAGTCTGAATTAGAGCAATAAACTTCTCTTTCCTTTTCCTCAAACCACTTGTCCTCATTCTTCCTTCTCACTGATTCAGCCTCAGGAACATGCACTGAACTTTCAGTAACAAATGGACCCCTTCTTGGCTCAGGGAACCTCAAAAACACCTTAGGACTGAGTTGCTGGCCATGAAGGGAAGGGAGGTCTGACACACCTCCTTATAACGCCTCCCTTTTGGAGTTTAGACTAATTGCAAACTGGACCCAAGGCCATGCAAGCCAAAGGTTAAATCATGCCTGCAAGCCATCAATTTGCTTAACAGATCACTTGAGTATATATTGTAGCTTGCTTTCTGACGAATAGACTCTTTTATCTTAACTCAAGCATTCCTTTCTATTGACTCCAAGTCTTTAGACAAAGCTTCCTTTTAACCAAGTACAAATCAAAGAATCTTTGAACTCACCTATAACCTTAAGCCCTGCCCCCCTGCTTTTTGCTTTTTCAGGCTAAACCAATGCGTATCTTCCATGTATTGATTTATGATTTGATCTGCAGTTCCTGTCTCCCTAAAATGTATAAAATCAAACTGTCACTCAACTGACTTGGGACCACTTACCCAAGGCTTGAATATGGCTCTTTGGGCCATTGATCACTCATATTTGGCTCAGAATAAACCTGTTAAATTATTTTACAGACTTTTAGTTTTTTTCGTTAGAAGCACAAACACATACAGGTGTCTAACATCATATACATCTTTCGTTTAACAAGTGGGAAGTACAGTGTTTAGCATCATCATAAATCATTAAATGATACTGTTAGTACAATGAAATGGATACACTTTAATGAAATCTTTAAAAAATACTTTTATGATGATATACTTTTGAAATGCAGTTGTCCAACATATATGTACTCAACTCTATTGCCAAAAGTATTCTAGGCATATTTATTAAGTTTATTTATATGGAATGTGGATTATTTGAAAGAGCCAGGTATACCAGGTATAAATGTTCTAAAATATTGACACTAATAGCTATACCAGTGATTCTTAATCCTTGCAGCACAAGAAATCAGTAAATCTGGATAACTGAGTAGCAAGCCTGGGTACCAGTACTTTTATAAATTGAATTTGGCTTTAGTTCACAGCCAGAGTGCTAGGGCAGGAAGCTGTGCCTCCAAAACCTGCTTACTGAAGCAGTTACATTAGGGAAGAATGAAAGTCAAATCTATGCTAAAGCAAATAAATATGTAAGAAGACAAGCTTTTGAAGGAAGCTAAAATATGTCACCCCAAATAAGTTTTTTTTGACATAAATACTTTTGAGCTAACAGCAATTAAGAAGCAAATAGAGAAAGGGCTCCCTCAATCTTCCAATCCTCCTCCTTTGCCACCTAAGGACAGGAAGTAAATTTTCTTTCACTGCGGACAAGTCTTATCAGCTCAGAGATGGCACCAGAGAAATCTATAAACAAACATTATTCCATCAGTTTCTTCCCATATATTTACTTCCCACAGTTTCTCGCCTTTAGAAACATAAAACTGCTTTCCATTGTCCTGTCATTTCTCTACAAATTTACTGTTCTTTGTTGAAGATGCTATATAAGCCAGAGATCTAAGCCACTGCTTTGAGAGATTTCTCCCACGTGCTGTGCACTGCACACATTAATAAACTTGCTTGTTTTTCTTTTGTTAATCTCAACTCTGAATTTATGAGTGTTAAGAAGAAATTATATTTCCTCTCTGACACTTTCACTGCCCACATCATAAATTTATGACAATTCACAAAAATATTAATTTATATCTCAGGTAGTAACTATTAGAAAACACAACTGCCTTTGTGAAGGCCCAGAAGCCTTCTACACACAGCTTCTTTCCATTCCCCCCTGGAGAAACCAAGTAAGAATTTCTCAAGGGAACAGAACACTGCTAAGACTTACTGTTTAACAGCATCACATTCCTACATTTACTCAGTGCATCTTCCCAGTGATATTTGACCACAAGCAATAAAACTCTAAAGATAAGTGCTTTTGTTCTGTTATCAATTTGCCCATTACCCTTGCTCTCTGAAGGCTGGCACTAACTCTGACACTGTGCAAATATTTGTAAAACTTGCGAACCTACTCAAAATGTTGAGCATACTGAAAGTGCTTTTGCATGGCAACGAAAAGTCTTCCTCTAAAAAATCAAGATTGATTTAAGATTGGATTGGATTTAAAATTGAACACAAAAGTATTCCTTTTAGATATACATCACTGACCAAATTCTCACAGAAAACTGTTTAAATATAGTTTTGTTCATCAGGTCATGTATTTTTAATTTCTACCTTATTGATTTGAAAGAATAAAAGAATTGACATAGTGATAGAAATGTTAATATCCTCAATTGAAATTTAGTCAGAACCTTATCATGTCTGAATTGTTTTCTACCATTTTGAAAGAAAAAAATAGCTACTTTTGTATGTGTGCTGTGGAAAGTATGCAGAATAAAAAACCAAATAACATTTCAATAATTCATTAATTAATTAATGAGGAAAGATACTTATTTTTTGCACTATTTCTGGATAAATTATATTTCAGAAGAAAACACCATTTTCATTGGCAATAAATTATTTAATATAACTTTATTAAATCATGATGTTTAATTTTTATTTTTCTTCAATTAAAAATAACCACAAAACACCCAGCTAATTAAACTAATTCTTTCTAAAGGATGATTAAAAGTGAAATTTATAACAGCTATTGCTGCACAACGTTGTGAATGTACTTAATGCCACTAAACTGTGGACTTTAAAATAATTCACTTTAAATAATGTTATGTGTATTTAAAAAATTTTTTAATAAGTGAAATATTGTCGAGGGAAGCATCTAAACCATGCAAATTGCCATTTTAAAAAGTATCATAAAGTATGTGCTCAGATAATTAGCTTAATTCAAGTTTTCATTGCTTTGACATAATTACTTGAAACTCTGTCCAAAGAGCCATTTATTTCCTTTACAAATATCTCACAGGTCCTAGTGAGCATAGCTATTTTCAAATTTAAAACTTTTCATTATTAGTTTTTTTTTTAATTTCAGCATATTATGGGGGTACAAATGTTAAGGTTACGTATATTGCCCATGCCCCCCATTCCCACCTTGAGTCAGAGCTTCAAGCGTGACCATCCCCCAAACGTTGCACATCTCACTATTTTGTAACTGTTCTTTAAAAATGATCTTTCAGTAAAATTCTTACTAAGTATTTCCAGGGAAAATGAAATCAGGGAATAATACCTCAGAAACCCTCTGACCTCACACGAAGTCGCTCCGGTCTATTCCGTGGCTAACTAGTTCCCAGGTCCCGCGCACTCGTGCCCAGGTGTCCGTCTTATTACCTTGCGCTAACTAGTCCCCCCCGTCGGCGGCACTCGTGCCCAGGTGCTCCGGTCTATTACCCGTTGCGCTAACTAGTCCCCCCCGTCGGCGGCACTCGTGCCCAGGTGCTCTGGCATATTACCCGTTGCGCTAACTAGTCCCCCCCGTCGGCGGCACTCGTGCCCAGGGCCCGCTCGCTCTAGGCCTTTTACCTCCGATGACGGCAGAGTCGCTTCTGTCTGCGGTTCGCAAGGGCTCTCCCTCACCTGCCGGTCCAGAAGGGCCTACGGTAGGAAAAGGGGGCGATATGTCTGTTAGCTAGATTCGATCCTTCCACAGTACGCGCACACATCAAAATTTTGCCAATTAAAAATAAACACGTGGCAAAAATATTTTTTTAAATGATGGAGCCGAGAAAAGACTTGAGAATCCACAGCGTTTGGAAGAGGCGCAGTGTCCGAGCGCGCCGGGGCAAGGGCACGCACCTGCGGCCCCCGCGAGCCGGGGGGCCAGTTCCCGCGCCGGGGAGCCGGGCCCCGCCGCGCAGCGGGACGCGGCGACCACGCGGCCGCGCACCGTGACGCGGCGGGCCGCCGGCCGCAGCGCCGCCTTCAGGGCCGCGCGGCCGAAGCGCACGGCCGACAGGCAGCCGGTGAAGCCGCGCGCCGCCGCCCGCCGCGTGTCCGGGTCCGCGCCGGGGGGCTCTGCGGGGAGAGAAGCGGACACGCCGTTAGGGCGCAGGGGAAGGACCGGCCGCAGGCACGCCGTACTGGCATGGCAGTGACCGACTGGAAAGCCCCCCGCAGCCCTTTGCCCTTTCACCCCTAGGAGGGGACCGCCAGACCTCCACCTGCTGGCAGCCGTTTCCACTGCCCGGGGCCGGGAGGCCGGGCTCGGCGGCTGGCCAAGGGCAGACGGGGCCGCTCTGCGGGGCGCAGCTGCGTTGGAAAGCAGTGCGGGGTGGGGCGTGGGTAACTCACAGCTAACGGACACCACGAGCGTTGGGTGTGGCAAAGTCACGACACGTAACCAAAATGTTTGTACCCCCATAATATCCTGCAATAATAATAATAATAAGAAACGAAACCCTCTGCCATTTAATTTTAGCCAGTAATCCAGGGGATTACAATAAAGTGACTCCTGGAGATGAAGACAGAGCTCTGGAGAGCCTTTGTAATTGTTTTGTCTTATTATGTGGTATTTTGTATGATATATATGGATTTATGACTTATACTGTCTTAATAAATTGTACCTTTTATCACAAGATAATGTTCCCTTTTAAAATTAGGTTATATTCTAATCTTAAATTTGATCTTTTCTGACAGTAATATTGCATTTCTTAAATTTGCCAGCTGTTACCTGCTAGTTCTTGGTATACTCCTTTTTCAATATTGTAAGTGCATTTAACTGTTTTTTTTTTTTTAAAACCCAGTATGGCAGAATTTAGTCCATTCACATTTAGAGTAACAACCGCTGTATCAATTTTATTCTTTTTATCTTACACTATTTATTTTACATGGTTGTTTCATCTTTTCATCTCTTGTTTTTTATTTTCCTGGTTTAACCAGTTTCCTTCTTTTTTCCACTTTTTCCTTTAGTGACTTTGAGAGCTCAACCTCCCTAGCATAGGCAATGAAAAGCATTCTTTTACACCATTATTTGAAAACACGGTCTTTTCCCAAAGGCCATTCACCCATCTCCCAACACTCCCCAATTCACCCCCTCCCACTTGGTGGGTTCCCTCCCTCCCACAGTGGGGCCCCTCACAACAATTCTTCCCCACAGAGGAGGCTTGGAAAGTTTTATTCTTCTTCTTACAATTTTCCCTTCTTATATTCCTTTCTTTGGTTTTACTCTAATACATTTAGTTCCTGACTAGAATTACAATTTTCTTTCATTTGCTTTTGTTCTCTTATATTCATCCTATTTCAAGAATCTTTATATAATTGCTTTTTTTCCCTAAGAAAGAACTTTGACAGGTTTGACAAAGATTCTCCCCTTGACCCAACTTTAGCTCAGCTATCCCTGACCTTTGGTCTTTGCATTGCCCAGTTTGGCAAGAATCCTGCCACGTGAATCCCCCACCCTCAGTATCTGATCACCCTCCTAAGCCCTCACATCTCCCCTTCTTCCCTGCCATGTCTGTCACCCTGGCCTGGCTTCACCAAGAATCCTGTCAGGTTAGTTTAGCAAGAATTGCTGTACCCTCTTAGTAATTTTCCACCCACTGACTCCCCTGCCCCAGGTACTCTGCTCCTTGGCTATAAATCCCCACTTTTCCTTGTTGTAGTTGAAGTTGAGCCCAATCTCTCTCCCCTACTGCAAAATCTCATTCCAGTAGTTTCTACACTATTGTGATAGTCCTGAATAAATTCTGCCTTACTGTTTTAACAGGTGTCAGAGTATTTTTTGCTTTGACACAATACAAGATGACTTTACATTAAATAGTTGTATTTTAGAGAAGAGTCATAATTTTAGAGGAGATTATCTCTTAAAAAATTTGAACATGTAGTACTATTAAGCTACAAGAAACAACGGTGATATAGCACTTCTTGTATTTTCCTGGATAGAGCTGGAACCCATTCTATTAAATATCCCAAGAATGGAAAAACAAGCACCACATGTACTCACCAGAAAATTGGTATTAACTGATCAACACCTAAGTGGACACATAGGAATAACATTTATCGGATGTCAGGCAGGTGGCAGGGGGGAGGAGGAGATGAGTATATTCAAACATAATAAGTGAGACATGCAACGTTTGGGGGATGGACACGCTTGAAGCTCTGACTCGAGCGGGGAGAGGGGGCACGGGCAATATACGTAACCTTAACTTTTGTACCCCCATAATATGCTGAAAAAATAAATAAATAAAAAGGAAAGAAAAGGAAAAAAAAACATTGATGATTTAAGGGCAATTTTGTACTCCCAGCTTTTAACCAGCACTGCTAGCAATTATCATAGAACAAATTTTTAGTAAAACTCAATTCCTACTGTGTTGACATGTGTATATATATATGACTTCCCTGTTACCTTGACATGGCAACACTGTCAAAGCCCTTCACTTTTTGATCCTCTTAGCTGATTAGCTCTAATCAAAAATGTATGTTGACCCATCTGGCCTCCCTTCCTGTGCTTTCTCCACCTGTGTGGTCCTGCATCCAGGCCCCTGCTAATTCTCTCTTCTCTTCCATCAAAGCCTGCTCCTGAGTAAATTTACTTTTGTATAAATCCTTGATTATGATTTTTGTTAACACTCTTAGGGGTGTGTGCATTTTAGCAGAAGGCAAGGCATTAGGTCAAGGGAATGGATCTCTGATATGGAATTTGAAACATGAGCACTTAAAGCTGTAGAAAAAAGAATATTTGGGGTAGGTCTGCCTTCCCAGCCCACTGAAGTCATGCCAAATAGACAGACATCTGACCTCACAGAAGAGTGTCACCTGGTTGAACTAAAGAAGGAAATGACTAGATAAGTGGACATGTGCGATATGGTAAACATCGCTACATGTGACCACTGAAATTCAAATCAATTAAAATTTTAAAAAATAACAAATTAAGTCCCTTAGTTACACTAGCCACATTTCCAGCACTTATAAACATGCTTGTGTCACGTGTGTCTAGGGAATACCATATAGGACACCACAGATATTTCATCATCACAGAAAATTGTATTGGATGGCACTGGTCTGGCTGACTTAGAATTTCAAAGACCTTAAGACATTAGCGATCCCCACTGACTCCTGGTTAATGGATTAAGTTAGAAAATCTTAGAATTTTCTACTAATAGGAATCTTAGAAATAATTTAGTTCAGCTTCCTCATTTTACAGGTAATCAATTGTTGATCTTTCTTGAAAACAACCTGCAAAATCTCATATCTTCTTGATTTTTGTAGATTTTTTTTGTGTTTTTGTTTCATAATATTGGGAGAGGCAATCCACCATTGGCTCAGAGTGTTTGCCTGTTTTACTGGGTTTGCCAAGAAATGCACAACTCTGCTAGTGCTTTACTCAGGCCATTTCTCAAGGCTGTATTTGGAGGAAGCAGCCTTGAGGAATGAGGTCATGTCTCCCTCCAGGACAAAGAATAGGCTTGTTTACTGCTTGCTATAAAACTGGTGGATTCCCCAAGCTCAGTGTTCCTCAGCTGCCATGAAAACTCACTGTAGGTACAGCATTCATCTGGGCCCCTATAATTGTCCCCTAAGACTTGAGGGCCAAAGGGACAGCAATGCCAACATGCTGATGCTCATGAGGCCTGCTGTGCCATGAGTAACAGAGTCCTTCGTCTCTGAACCAGGAGTCTTATGCCATCTGCCAGCATTCACAAAATAGTTATAGTCTTACTAGCTTGTAAGTCAGGTAAAATCCAAATCCCAGACCCAACATATAACATCCCTTCTAAATGAGACAAATACCATACCATAAAAGTCATATAAAATATATAGGTCAATTGAGTTTTAAGTGTTAAAAGTATGTCTTATATGACATTTCCTTACAGAACTCAAAAGCCAATTTTCAGAAATATTTAATTATGAAAACTATTTGGCATTATCACATATATAGAGCTCTGTTTGAAATACAATCCTGCAATGCATTTTCTTCTACCCAGAATGTAAACCTCCTAAGGTTTATAAGCACAGCTGCATTAGTGTGTAATTATCTATAAGATATTTTTTTAATTTTCTGGGAGCAGTCAAAAAGACACATTCTGCAGCTTCTATACTTTGTTTTGTTACATATATATACATATATATGTTATATATATGTGTGTGTGTATATATATATATATGTATATATATTTGAGTTAGTGTTTAAACACACACAGCAAAATAAAAAGAATACCAATAGTACCAAAGTAGTTGGAGAAACAAAACTTAACCAAAATTGTTGTCAAAACCACAAGGGGGTTCGGTATAGGTCCAATTGATTGTCACACAAAAATCCAATTATAGAGACAACGAGGAAGAAATGAAAGGAAGAAATGCCAAGGAAGAAATGAAATTTTAATACAACAGATGTCTTGCCAGGAGAACTGGAGACATTGCCTCAAATCCATCTCCCAGACTAAAGGAGACCATGGGCTTTGAAAAGAAGGGCTATGTGCATTGGGACAGGTCCTGGGGGATGATGATCCTTGGCAAAAAGAATCTTGTTCTGGGGCCTTTGGAATCTCAAGTACTTTGTCGTGCAGAATATCAGTTATTTCTGGGAAACATCTCAAAAGTTCAAGTAGTTAGTTAAGGGAGAGGGTTATATAGGGGCCATTTACAAAATGATAGTTTACATTTACTGGATTATAGTATTTTAAGTGTTCACATTCTTTAAGACTATATCTCAGATAAAAAACAAAGCTATGCAGAAAATCAGACATCTAAAGAGTTTACATTTAAATAGGTTTACTCTGGATTGATTTTGTGATAACCTATATGAATGGTCTTCATTAAGTAAGACTACTCAAATGGCAAGATAATAACACCATCTTAATTATGATGGATGCTGGGCCATTTTTTTTCAAAGGCATGTTAAGGTTTATATTAATAAATTAGATTGGATATAAGCATTATTAGAATTGATTACATACTAGCCTATGTTCCCCATTAACATGTGAATTTTTGTTACATGTGAGGGTGGGTGTTGTATCTCTCTTGTTCAGAGGCTTTCTCAGTTCTTAATAAATTGCTCATAGTCGTTGCTCATCAAATATTTTTGAACAAATAGATCAATGATTCACAGGGACTCATGAGAAATATACTGATAACTTAGCAGAGAGTGTTTTGGGTAACTTTCTCTAGAAAATTAGTGGCTTTACTATTAGTCAACTTGTTGGTCTATTTACCATAAGTTAAAGAAAGCACTTCTTACACAACTCCAAACTTAAATATAAAATTTTGTAGTCTTGGTTTACTTATTAAATGATCTGAAAGCAGCAAAAAATTTTTGCTGTCCAGAACATGAAGTATTTTATTAATTTTTGTGTCAATGGAAAAGAACCTAAACTCTGTAAAATAATTTACAGAGGTTTATTTTGAGTCACATATGTGCAGCCCTGGGCTGGAGAGCCACACCCAAGAAGCCTTGAGCAAGCGGACTTTCCGTGGTTGGGTCACAGCTTGGTTCTATACATTTCAAGGAGACAGGAATTACACATAACATCACAGATCAATACATGGAAGGCATACATTGGTTTGGCCTGAAAAGGCAGAACATCTCAAAGTGGGCAGTGGGGGAATTACAAGTTATAGGTGGGTTTAAAGATTTTTTGATTTGTAATAGTTAAAGAAATGAAGCTTTGTCTAAAGGCTTGGAATGTTTTAAGATAAGGAAGTCTGTTAATCAGAGAAACAAGCCACCAGACATATACTCAGACTCAAGTGATCTATTAATTAAGTAAATTGGTGACCTACAGGTGTGGTTTTAGATTTGCCTTGCACAGCCTTAAGCCTTTTAATGAGTTACAAAAGATATCTCCAAGAAGGAAAGGGGGCATGTCTGACCTCCCTTTCCATGGCCAGCAACTCAGCTTTAGGGCACTCCGGGGGTCCCCTTGCCCAAGAGGGGGTCCATTCAGTCATCTTGGGGACTTAAGATTTTATTTTAGTTCACATTTGATTATTATCTCTAGTTCTAGGCACAGGCAAAATAAATATTTATAACTTTCTGACTATATACTTTATTTACTTTATTGCTGAATTTGAACTTGTTTTTTATACCGTAAGTTACATGCCTTTTAATATACTATCCTTGAATAAAAACATTAACACAGCTTAAACTCCATGTACTTATTTATCCAAAGGAAAACAAAAATGTATATAATGAATATTATTCTATTTTGATCCTCTTCATATTACATACAGTATAGTTTGTTTTCTTAATGATTTACATAAAACTTTTAAAAGACTGTTTTCCTCAGTTACTATGTTATTAAGTTAAAGCGAAGCTGTGCTTTTAAAAATGCTTCCCATTAGTATGGTAGGCCATTATTGTAACATTCTACCTGGTGTAATAGGTATTTATGAACATTCCTCACCTCTCCTGTTAGATACTGGAGTTATAGAGGACAGAAACAACAGGCAAGAGTCAGACTTGGAACAGGTTACAACTGTTCTTATCTGCTGAAACAAAATGAGCATTTTTCCCCCTTGTCTTCAACTCAAACATAGTTTTATCATTGAATAGAGGTCTCTGAGTTGATGCTGATTAACGCATAACCTGTGAACTTTGTATCGCTTTGATAACATTTCACTTTTCAAGAAGTGTTATAAAATACCATGATCCATTATGCATGATTGCCAAGTGAGAGGTTAAGTGTGGAAGTATTTTTCCAGGAACACCCTCGCACGACTTGCAGCAGCACTTACTCATGACTATAGGTACACTCAGGCAAGAGTACCATTTGCATCTTGATTGTCACTCACTAGGAAATTATTATTCAAGTAAGAAAAGAGCCTCTTTCAGCATGATGAATGCTTTAGAGTCTGTGACATGACACTTATGATCTGATTGTTTGGGGGAAAGCTTTTCTCCACTTACCTAAAAACTTTCCCAATGTGAGGGATTTGACAGCATTGAATTCTGTCCCTGAGGACAAGATGACTTGTTTCTTTGCACTCTGGTTAACCTGTTAGATGTCCCATGAGATGCAAACATGAAAAGGAAGTTCAATTTTAATGATAAGGAAGCAAAGGGAGAACAGGGAAAAAAGATAAAAATAAATCACTTGTAAGTGCCCTAGAAAAGATCAAGAAACCACCTCTGAACAATTAACCATTTAGAAGGGAAGCTAACTTATAAGAAGTTCCCAGGATGCCATCAGCTAACACTCCACCCACTATCTACCCTTCCCCAGCTGTAACTGTCAGAAGAAGAATGGAAGAATCTGTAACTGGCAGAATCCACAAAGATGGAATCAACTGTTTTAAACTTAAAACTTACTTGTTCTATGGAGAAAACCTGAAACATAAAGCCAAGAATTGCTGTTCTATGTACAGATTTAAAGTAGATTTTCCTTCAAATGCCAGTGACAATGTGTAATTTACTTACTCTGTTCTTACTCAGGTTTATTTTCTTGTGTATTCCCACGTTAATGAATATCTTGTGTACTTTTTTTTACCTGTGTCTGAACTGATGTAGTATATGTTGCTTTATAATCAGAATGGGGCAGGTTCCTACTGAAATATCAGTTAACAGATTCCACCAATAGTCACCGTGATAAACTAGGGAACATTTTCCTACTGAATAAAGTAGAACATATAAGGACATTTTGATATTTTAAATGGTAAAATATTAACAATAACTTTGACAGAATTACATCACTAAACAAACAAAACAAAGCAAAATAAGCAACCACTTCTTTTTCCCCTAGTCCTGGCTGCATTTGACTTCCTATCCTTGACTCATGGAAGAGCAATACTGAATAGGTGGTTGTTTTATTAACATCACATTTTTGCATTAGGTTACTCATTCTCAGAACCATAACCATAATGTGGCTATTTTGACTTTGATGTTGATGCATTACCTCTACCATGACCACTGCTTCCTCTCTGCTAATCTTCACCTGGTGAAAGGTGCCCATCAGCCATGTTTTTAAAATCAAAGTTAAATGCGTCAGGATCTTGATGTCTGTCTAGTTTGTACCGAATCTGAAAACTTCCTAAAGAGAAAAACAAATGACATTGAAAATTAAAATATTTTACAAAACTCTTACTGTAAATTCTAGAGCATTTTTATTATTATTTACTTAAGGCACTTTTGAATCTATTTAGCATAGATTTGGATGTGCCCAATAATCATCTTTCCTGGAATAGTGATTACTTAAGTGCTATTCCAGCACCAAACTCTGAGTCCAACTATCCTATTTAAAAGTCAAGACCAAATGCATTGATAATAAGCAGTTTTCCCAAACTTTTCTTAAATGGAAAGGTTTAAAGTACACATATGAAATCTCTGAACTCAGATCTAAACTCATTATGATTATGATACTTATTCGATGAAACGAAACTCCATGCAATATTGTATCAACATTCAGTTTACATAATTGTGACTTCTTTTAATAAGGCTTATTTTAGTATGTTACACGATGTGCATAATTAAAAATTAAAAATTATTTTTACAGCCAGAATTTTCTTTTAAAGTCTTTTGCCATAATCAAAAAATGAGAAGAGAAAAGGTTTTGCCAAGTGACAAGGTTGCTATGGTATCCACATCTTCTAACACACACACTGCATTCCCACATACATGCACCCCTTTTACCCATAACTCTCTGACGGCTTATGCAAAGATCCTGTTAGTCAGAGATTTTGTAGGTTTTTCAAGAAATGTTTGTGCTGACTCACTACCTACACAAACTGAAAGCTTGGCCTTCCTGTTCCACTGTGACAGCCTTGCAATGCCCTAGTAGCCACTGTTTGAGAGACTATCACTTCACTTTTCTTCTTATATAAAAATGATATAACTAGTTTCTCAACCACTGATGGGATAAAGAGCAATTGTATTTCTCTGCTGCTTAAGGAAATTGGCTTTTATGTAGTTTTACTATAACATCCACATTAATACTTCTCTACTTTGCTTAGAATGAGCAGGAATATATGTCATATATCCAGATATCGTATTTCAAATCATCACAATTTGCTGATCATCATGCAGTAATGAAGATATGCTAAGAATAATAAGATGTATAATTTTATATCTAATCTGTAAAATTATCAAATTTGTAATGGGAGAAAAGCATCCTAATTTAATCTTGAAATGCTAGCTGTTATGATAACCATTACGGATAGTACTGAAAAATCAAAAGGTGTGGAGGTCATGCAATTTTCTTTCCTTGCAGCTTGAATGCTGAAAAGACCCGTATCATTACAGTCCTATTTTTTCTAATTCAGGGTTTTTTTTCTTTACACAAAAGATATTCACCATTGTTGGCGAGGATAATTGAAAGGTATTCCTCATAGAAAGAGCTCACATACAGCAATAAGCTTGGAGTTCGTGTGGTTCGGAAGCTTAGAGTGATCATTTCTCTTGTCAAAGTCACATCCCCATGTAATGAGGAAGCAAGGGCACTGGAGTTTTCACTTAAGATGGGATGTTCTTGAAAATTATAGGTCATTGAGGAGCCAGTTTCAAAATATGCAGAAATCTCTGGAACAACAAATCCATATGTTATGGTAACAAAATATAAGTCCAATGAATCCAACCCTTAAATATCCCGGGAGACAAAATAACAGTGAAATGCTTTCTTGTATTGTTTGGATTATTTTCACTTTTTAAAGTTTTTTAAAAAATAAAGTTTGAAGAAAAAAGTAGCAAATCCCAATATACTCACAAAGCAGAAGTAAATAAAATTTAATAGAGATTTCATTGAATTTTCCAAATTATCTTCACCTTAGACTTACATAGAACTAATTCTCCAGGATAAATGTATTATGGAAAGGTAATCATTCTTACCTTTGGGTTTTTTCCCCAAATGTTAATTTTTAAAACAACCTTATTAAAATATATGTAATCCATATACCATGCAACGGACTCCATTACAGTGTAGAATTCTATGTCTTTTAGTATATCACAGACTTGTGCAACCATCACCACAATCAATTTTAGAGTATTTTCACCACCCCCCACCTTTACATCCCTCCAAAAAAATACCCTTTTATATCCATTGGCAGTCCCTGTTTCTCCTGAACATCTCAGCCTAGGCAACTACTAATCTATTTTCTGTCTCTACAGAGATTCCTATTTTGGAGATTTCCTATCAGTGGAATTGTACAACATGTGGTCTTTTGTGTCTGGCTTCTTTCATCTAGTATGATATTTTCAAGGTTCCTCCAGGTTGTGGCATGTATGAGTATTTTATTCCTTTTCATTGATGAGTAATATTTCATTATATGGCTATGCCACATTTTGTTGATCTATTCATCAGCTGATGGACATTTGGGTTGTTTCTACTTTTTGGCTATTATGAATAATGCTGCCATGAATATTCATATGTAAATTTTTGTGTGGACACATATTTTCATTTCTCTTAGGTACATATACCCAGGAGAGAAAGTGTTCAGTCTTCTAATAACTCCATCTTTAACATTTTGAGGAACCGACAGTTTTTTTTTTCCAAAACAGCTCTATCATTTTACATTCCTAACAGCAATTACGAGAGAGTTTCAACATCTTCCCTTCCTAAACAACATTTGTTACTCTTTCTTTTAAATTATAACTACCCTAGTGGGTATGAAGTCATAACTCATTGTGGCTTTGATCTGCATTTCTCTACTGGCATATGGTGCCAAGCATCTTTTTATGTGCTCATTGACCATGAGTATATATTTGCTGAAAAAATATCTATTTACAAGCTTTGCTCATTTTTCAACTGGGTTGTATTTTTATTATTCAATTATAAGAGCTCTTTAAATAATTTGAATACTACATCCTTGCAAGATACATGATTTGCAAACATTTTCATCCATTCTTTGGGTTGTCTTTTCACTTTTTTTCAAAGTGAGCCCTTTGAACAACAAAAGTTTTTAATTTTGATGAAGTCCAACTTATTTATTCTTTCTTTCTTTCTCCCATATTTTAAGAGTTTTATACTTTTAGCTATTACATCAAGGTTTATCACACATTTGGAGTACAGTTTTGTGTATGTGTTAGACAGAAGGCCAATTTCATCCTTTTGCCTGTGCATGTGGATATCGAGTTGTCCTGTGACTATCTTTTCCCCATGATTGTCTTGGCACTTCTTGTGAAATGCACTGACCATAATGTGAGGGCACATATCTGGATTTTTAATATATTTGCTTAGTTGCTTAACTGCTCTGAATAGAACTTCTAGTACTATGATAAATAAAAGTGGTCAGACTGGGCATACTTGTTATGTTCCTGCTTCTAGGGAAGAAGCTTGCACCATTGAATATGATGTTAGCTGAGGGTTTATATATACAGCCTTTATCATATTAATGAAGTTCCCTTCTATTCCTACTTTATTGAATGTTTTTTTAAATTATGAAAGGGTTTGGAGTTTGTCACATTTTTCAGCAACAATTAAGATATTCATGTATTTTTCTCTTATTCTAGTAATCTTGTATAACACATTGACTGATTTTAATATGTTGAACCACCTCTGAAATCCTGGAATAAATCCTACCTACTAGGTTTTGGTATGTAATCCTCTTAGTATGCTTCACCATAATTTTTTGTTTTATTTTCTTTAGTGATTGCTCTAAGACTTATTATATATCTTATCAGAATCTGCTTCAGGTTTACACTAACTTAATTCAAGTGAGATATAATAAAGTTACTTTGATGTAGCTCTATTTCTTTGGTATCTTTTTGAGCTGTTGTTATATATACCAAACCAAACACTACATTGTTGTAATTATTATTTTATATAATTTGATGTCTTTTAAAAAGTCTGAGAAATAAAAAAAAGTACAAGTATGTATTTATAAACTTTGTGATATTAACTCTCTTATTTACCATGTCTGGTTCTGTTTTTTTTATTCCTGGGATTCATGTTACCATCTGGTATAATTTCCTTATTTCACTACAGCTTTGTTGCTACTTGACTCCACTGTGCTGTTATTTTTAAATATACTGTATTTCTATAGGCCTACCAATATAAATATATGTTATATATTTATATATTCTCTTTTATAGTTTTACACAATTGATTTTTAAATCAGTTAAGCACAAAAAGGATAATAAATATATGCCATTTACTTTCTTTCATAATTATCTACAAACTTACCTTTATCAGTGCCGTTTGGTTTTGTGCAGATTCAAATTACTATCTGGGGTTACTTCCCTTCAGACTGAAGAACGTTCTCTATTTCCTTTAATGCAGGCCTGCTAGTGGTGAATTGTCTTTGTTTTAAAATCTGGAAATATCTTTATTTCACTATCATTTAAAATTTTTTTTTATTTTTATGGATACATAGTTGTACATATTTATGGGGTGCCTGTGGTATTTTGATACAAGCATTCAATGTGTAATGATTAAATCAGAGTAATTGGAATAGCCATTACCTTAAACACTTATTATTTGTGTAAGGAACATTCCAATTCCATACTTCTAGTTATTTTGAAATACACAATTAACTATAGTCACCTTATTGTGCTACTGAATACCAGATCGATCTTATTCTTTCATTTTTGAAAGATAATTTTGCTGGGTGTAGGATTCTTGATGACAGTTGCCTTCTTTTACCACTTTGAATATGTCATGGAATTGACTTGTGGCCTCCCCTTGTTTCTGATGTTAATCTTGGTGTTCTCTTGTACACGAGTTATTTTTCTCTTATTGCTCTTAAGATTTCCAATTTGAATTTGGCTTTCAACATTTTACTAAGATGTGTCTAAGTATGGATTTCTTTGTGTTTATCCTACCTGGATTTCATTGAGCTTCTGTATGTGTAGATTAATGATTTTTTCAAAAATTTTTTGATCCTTTCTCTCCTCTCCTTCTGGTATTATCAGTTATATGCATGTTGGTGTACTTAATTATGTCTGATGCTTCTGTGATGATGTTCATTTTTCTTCATTATTATTTCTCTTTATTATTCAGGATATATAAACTCTATTGATCCATCTTCAAGTTTGCTGAGTTTTTCTTCTGCCAGTACAAATTTACTGTTGAGTCTTTGTAGGGAATTTTCTATTTCAATTATTGCATTTTTTGATACCAGAACTTCTATTGTTCTTCTTAAATTTTTTTATCTATCATAATTCTACATTTGATGAGATACTGTCATCATACTTTCTCTCACTCCCTTAAGCATGATGTCTTAGTCTGCTTAGGCTGCTATAACAAACTATGGTTAACACCATAAACTGAGTGGCTGAAACAACAAAGTTTCCCCACCCCTAACAATTCTGGAGGTTGGAAAGTCTGTGATCAAGGCACCAACAGATTCAGTGTCTGGTGAGAACCCTCCTTCTGGTTTGCAGGTGACCGCATTCTGGCTATGTCCTCACAGAGCGGGGAGAGCGAGGGCTCTGACCTCTTCTTCTTATAACGGCACCAATCCCATCTTGGGAGCTTCACCCTCATGACTGAATTATCTAAACTTAATTACCTACCAAAGGCCCCACATCTACAAACTATCATGTTGGTGATTAGGACTTTTACATATGAATTTGGGGGGATATAAACATTCAATCCATATAGAATATGGTTACTTTTGCTTCTTTGAACATATTTATAACAGCAGCTTTGGAATTTTTCCCTGCTATGTCTGGTATCATCTGAGCTTTCTTTCTTTCTCTCTCTCTTTTTTTTTCCCCCAAGTTTGAGGACCATGCAAGGTAGATATCAGTGGTTTTAAAAGGGAAACCCCAATTACATTCTCAAATTTTAATCTCATTTATTCATCTTCAGGGTACCTGGCCAAATTATCATATCTTACTGATAGGTGGTATAGGTGAATAAGTTAGATCTAAAGTCTGCACCAAGCATGCATTTATAGAATTATTTTATTTCTTTTTGAAACATAATCAATTTATGCTTCTTACATGTCAGTGTGAAATAAAAACTACCATGTATTTCAATTGATGGCATCTAATCTTGTTCTTCAGCTAGGTAATACACTGAACAGTTTCTTTTTTCATGAATACTAAAGTAGACCTTGGTAACTCTGAATAGATCTTAAAAGATCTTTCCAATGTCAAAAGTATGTAGAGTAACTGAAATTCTTAAAAAAAAAATTAAAAATAAATTTAAAAAACCCAGATGTATTAAGTACCTAAAGTCCTTATCTTCAGTTTTTCTAAATCTTTTATCCTCATTTAATGCCACTTCTGAATTCATATTTGTAAATTCTTAATTCTTCATATTTCTTTTTATTTTATAGGGTAGAATCTCTCATGAATACTTTTTAATGGATTGAGATATAGTTATATACAGTTATGATTCATAGTCACCTAAAATTATTTTTTCCTTCTTTTTTTCCCCCTCCTCTACTCTGAAGGAACTAGAATTATTTTTTCTTCACTGACCCTTAACACTAGGCCTTAACTCTGTGCCTCCAGGCAAGATTGTGCACCTGGACAGTAGGCTCCATTACTTGATTCCTGGGCATAGCCTCCTGGTGACTCATTGCTATTGTTACTTTTCCCTGAGACTGCATGAGAAGAACAAGGACAAGTGGTTTAAAGAGAAGGAAAGAGGAGTTTATTCATTTGCCAGCAAATGAGGAGGTTGGCAGAATTCTGTCTTAGAGTATCAACGTCCTCATATCTGGACTTTCTCAAAGATAGTTTCTCTTGCCTGCTTTTTCCCTCTACCACATTTCCCCGAAAATAAGACCTACCCATAAAATAAGCCCTAGCAAGATTTCTAAGCATTTGTGCAATATAATCCCTACTCCGAAAATAAGCCCTAGTGATGAGCGTGGCTACGCAGCGTATCTGCACAACCCATGCATTTCATCCTGGAGCGGTAAAGAAGACGAGCAGCCCTTCTCATCTGCTCCATCGTGACAGCTACTATCCCAGAGGTGACCGGAAAGGTGTGGGCAGCCCCACCAACAAGGTTGGCTCCCCGTCAGGTCCCAGCCATCCTGTGCGTGCTGCAAGCTGAGGCTTTGAGGGGAAAATAACACATCCCCTGAAAATAAGCCCGAGGGTGTCTTCTTGAGGAAAAATAAATATAAGACCCTGTCTTATTTTCGGGGAAACACAGTATATGTGGATCACATTTTCCTATTTATTTGCATGTCTCATGACTTTTTTTTTGGCTGAAAGTTTGGCATTGTAGATAACATAACACTTCTGGATATAGATTGTTCCCAGGGCTGCTGCTGTTGCCGTTGGTTATTTGTTAGTTAAGGGACTTGGCTGGACTATTTCAGTGAAGCCTGTTTCCCCTGAAGTGTGTAGCCTCTGAAGTCACTCCTCACAGAGGATATCCCTGGTCATGTGCACAGTCACCTGTTTTCTCAAGGCTCTTTGACTATTTCTTTACCTCTTCTCTGTTAACTCATCTGTGGCTGTTAGTACCATACCCAGATGTTAGCTTCCACTTCTTGTCTGGTGTTTGCTTTACTGTGTTCAGTAATGCTCCAGGGCATAAACTGTCCACAATTCAGGGCCCTTTGCTGAATTAGTCTTGGTTCCAGTTGTTGAAACTTGTTTAGACTCTAGGAGGAATCTTAGCTGTCTCATTCCCTGTTTTATTTTCTGTTAAACTTCTAGTTTGCCTATGATTTAATTTGTTGCTCTCTTGGAGCTATCAACCTTGTCTTAATTGTGTCTTAATTGTGTGACCAGAATCTTCACTGTTTTTGAAAGTACCAATAGGCTTGAACTTATCCATGCTCTGTTTCAAATAAAATCAGTTCATTTGGGGAGGGCTACAGACAGAGCTCTGTGTTGTCAACCCCCTGTCTCACTGTTCTGCAGCTGTGGGCAGTGACAGGGGCCTGATTTTTTGGAGTGAAACCTTTGCTTGTAAGTAGAGCACAGGTTGGGCATGGTGACCTCTTGCCTTGCCTCTCCTGGTGGTGGAAGCTTTACTTGTAAGCAAGCTGGAGTGAGGGCAACTGAGAGCCGGTATTCTCAAGCTGCCACACCTGAAGAGCTTCTGTCCTGGAGATGAGTACTTGGTGCAGCAAGGAAGCCCCAGGCGTCTCCGCTGCTTCTGCCTGGACAGAAGTCCTGCCACACAAAGCTGGGGGCGATGAGAAATGCTGGCACCTGATCTTGGGAATAAAGCAGTATTTTTGGAGTAGGAACTAGGGAGAAAGGCACCCCTGGCTTCTTGGCTGTACCCACACAAAGTAGAGCTTCAGTCATGTGGGGCTGGGGATAGGGAGGTCCAGGGAAAGGGTCTTGGCTGAAATGCCTCAAACTCTTACTGTCATTACTAAGATTAGTAAATGTTTCTTCATTTGATGTACGCCCTTAGGAGTACATTTTCTAGAGACTTTAAATAGTTGGGTTTTTAAAATAACAATTTTTAGCAGTCATGGCTGTCTTACATGGGAGAGGGTTTACAGAGCTCCTTATATGGCCATTCTGCCAGTGTCCCTCAGAGGACCAAGGTTTTTTAAATTTAAATTTCACCTCTTCTTTAAAAATCTATTGCTTTATAGGAAGCATAAAACAGATCTCCTTCAGTAGCTAGGAAGAGGATGATTTTAGGACCAACTCTTCTTCAAAATCAGAATTTAGCCATTTCCCTTTATGTCAAAGATCTTTCTCAGATTTACTGTTTGCCAGAAAATAAAAGCTAATTCAAAGCAATGTCTGCAGTATTCTGAGAGAGACAATGAAAAGCTTTTCAGCTTCCCCTAAAACATTTTATAAAAGGTTGATGTTTTAATTTTATATCAGATTAACTCCCAAAATGTGTTTAGTACACACATACACATACACAAATACACAGACCCCCCAAATGTACTTGGGATCTGAGCTCTCTGGATATGAGTCAAAGCTCCCTGAGTGACTCCTCTGTGAGGATTCTCTGTGACCACATAACCCGTGTCGCCTGTCACCTGCAGGAAGTGGTGATTAGAAACGTCACCCCTGACAATGCTTACCGGGATTTCTGTCTGGCTCTTATCGGGAAGAAGACCTTGACTCGCCTGACCCTGGAAGGCCACGTGCAGTGTGACGAGATGCTGCTGACGATGCTGTGTGAGATCCTCAGACACAAGCAGTGCAGCCTGCAGCACCTGAGGTTGGGATTTCTTTCTGTTACCACTCAGCAATGGGCCGATCTCTCCTCGGCCCTCCAAATCAACCAGTCGCTGACATGTCTGGACCTCTCAGCCAACGAGCTCCTGGACGAGGGTGTCAAGGTGCTGCACATGACTTTCAAAGACCCAAAGTGCTTCCTGCAGAGGCTGTCGTTGGAGGACTGTCACCTTACAGAAGCGTGTTGCAAGACACTTGCTTCTGTTTTGGTGGTCAACCAGCAGCTGAAGTACCTGTGCCTGGCCAAGAACGACCTTGGAAATACTGGAGTGAAACTTCTGTGCAAGGGCTTGGGTTACCCTGATTGTAAACTAGAAACCCTGGTGTTACAGCAATGCAACATAAATAAACGTGGCTGCAGACATCTCTCAAAGCTACTCCAAGAACACTCCAGCCTGAGAAACTTGGACCTGGGTCTCAATCCCATAGCTGCTGGATTGTGGTTTCTCTGTGAGGCCTTAAAGAATCCAAATTGTAACCTAAAATTCCTGGGGCTCTGGTGCTGCTCCATCCCACCTTTCTCTTGTCAGGATCTTGCATCTGCTCTCATTAGCAACCAGAAGCTGGAAACTCTGGACCTAAGCCAGAATAATCTGGGGAATAGTGGAGTAACTGTGCTCCTTGAGGCTTTAAAACAAAAGAATGGACCCTTGAAGACACTCAGGTTGAAGGCAAATGATTATGATTGGAAAATCCAGAAGCTCTTGGAGGAAATAAAAGAAGTCAATCCCAGATTGGCAGTTGAATATAATGGTGCCAGGACAACTAGACTGTCATCCTGTTGACTACCTTTCCTGAGCACCCTGGGACCATTCTCTCTGTGAATTGCACGTCTGCAGGGGAAGAATGCCATCTCTTTGTGAGACTTCTTGTTTGTGAAAATCAACTGCAAATCACTACGTAAGGTGTCAACGTGTAGGATTTAACACGGGTGTTTCTCTGAGGTTTAGAGGGGATATTCTGCACAAGTCACATAACCATTTTGTATCACATGTTATCGCTCACAAGGGTAATAAAGAATTAAAGCATTAAAAAAAAAAAAAGGAAGATGTTGAAAGGTGGTCATTGTCTTAGATTATTGTTCTTTTCTTTCTAGTTCCACAGAATATGAAGAATTTGCTGTACATCCAGATCGTTCTTATTAGATTAAGTAATCTAACTATAATTTACCCCATAGCCACTGGAGGCCATTTCCCATTCACCTACAATGCAATCTTTATGTTTAATTTTAGGTTACAAAATAACGTTTAAATTGCACTTAGCAAATGTGGACTAGGGATTACTTAGAAATTGACTCTTGTGCTCATGAGGAAGTGGTCACCTTGAAGTTGACCTTCAGATAGGAAGAGGCTCTGTATTTGTACCAGAACTATGTTGTTATGACACCTAGATCTTAAGTTATAATTCATTCAAGAGGACTAACAGAAGACTTATGAAGGTGTTTTGAAAATTTCAATGAATTCTAGAATTCTTTTGAAAGTCACACAATTTATGTAGTAATTAAAGCCCGTTGTGCTGCTAAACATGATATATGGGTGACAGACCAGACACATTTAAAAGGCTATTAAATTTAGCTTTGATGACTCAATACCCTAAAAGTATTACAAATATAAGTATATTCAGGAAGTTAGTACAGTATATTTAATGCCCAAACCAGTCCCTTCCTTCCTTTCAACATATGACTTATACCTGAGCAGAAGCTGTGGGATGCTCCACTCTACTCCTCTCAGAACAGGTACTTAAACATATTAGGGCGAAGTGTCTGAATGATCCCCTTAATGACATGTCAACATTTAATTAAATATGCATTTCCTTTCCTAGTTAATATGCTTGGTTTATAAGAAAAGGCAATTTTAAAATGTCTTTTTGCATCAGTTTGAGTCATTGGCATAAATAACAATGAGCAGAAGGATTGCTTGAGACCAGGAGTCTAGCCTGAGCGACACAGCAAGACTCCATCTCTAAAAAATTCAAACAAATTTTAAAAAATGATGCTTTAATGATTTTAAAATCAGAACAACCCAAGGACAGAGTTTTGAAAACCAAATCATTTTGCGAGGCTTAGCATTGAACAGAAAATGGGAAGTAACACAGAGATCTTCCACATAAGAAATGCAAAGAGGACTGACAGCCCTAGGTTTTCAAAGATAGTCATTTCCCTTCCATATTCAGTAGAGGAATTTGGAACAGAAATGATTGTATTTCAAATAATTACTAAATATGATCCTGTATTATGTCAAATGCCAGAAGTGTTCTTCATATTCTTAGTTTCCCACATTTTCTCTGTTCCCTGTTCCCTGGCCACACTTACCATCTGAGCAGAATGGCCCATCATAGGCAGAGGAGGCACAGTCACAAGCGATCCCTCTGCGTTTCTCTCTACATCTCCCTCCATTGCGACACAGGTGTCCGTAGCTGCTGCAGTGTCCTGCACACCCCGGCTCCACCCCTGGCGTCACTGTGGCTCTTTCTTCCAGATCCACCACCATCCCGTTCAATCGCAGAGACCTCATGCAGCCCAGAAAGCCTCTCTGTCTGGTGGCCGTCCCCCCTACAAGGGAAACACTGCAAATAGAAATGTGTTCCTTGGTATTTTATTAGGATTTTGTGTCCATGTCAAACTCAGGCCTTATGGAGAGTGGCAAAAATTTCAATTTGTCAAAAATTTTTGTGAACATATAAATTTTGAAAATATAAACTGTTATCAGATATCATAATGACACTGAAATTAAACATTTATTCACGTAACTTTTAAACATAATGAGCTTGGCAAATATTCACTCTAAAATATTTCTTTAATTTCAGTTAAGAAAGATTTTTACTTTAGTTTCTTTACACAGACAAAATATAAACCACATCATCATTTTACTTTTGTTTATGAACAATAATGTGCATTGTATGATTAGGTATGAACTCTCAACATTTTTACAATAATTTGAATATATGTAGATACATTCTTTACTTTGATGAACTCTCATAAAAAAGTATGAACAGAGATTCAGGCAAAGAAAGGGAAGTTGGAAGGGGTGAAACCACCCTGCAGGGTCTCACCCAAGGTGTCCCTTACCCCATCCATTCCTCTCTGGGGACACAGAGGTAAACCTGAACTGAATAACACACATATTTATATTTCATCATGTCCAACCTGAATGCTAAAGTACATAATTAGAGAGGTTTACACTTGTGTGGGGAAAAACACATTATGAGGGCAATAATTCTCCATGTCAGGATCATAGAATTACCTGCAGTTTGTGAAAAATGCAGATTCCTGAGGTTTTTTCCAGAGACTCAGATTCAGTGGGCCCAAAGGAGGGGCCCCAAATCTGAATTTTCTTTCTCTTTTTTTTTTTCTGAGATAGGGTCTCACTCTGTTACCCAGGCTGCAGTGTAGTGGTGCAATAATAACTCACTGCAACCTTGAACCTGGGGGCTCAAGCCATCCTCCTACCTCAGCCTCCCCAGTAGCTAGGACTATAGGTGTGCCCCACCCCCACATCTGGCAAATTTTTCTTTTAGAGACAGGATCTTGCTATGTTGCCCAGGCTGGTCTCAAACTTCCAGCCTCAAGCAGTCCTCCTGCCTCAGCCTCCAAAAGTGCTGTGTTACAGGCATGAATGAGCCACCACACCTGGCTCCAAATCTGAATTTTCAACCAGCTTGGGGGTGATTCTGAAGACAGTGACTCATTCACCACAGTTTTATACACCTTATCTTAATGTGAATGCTTATTCTAGCTGAATTTTTATGCTTATTTTGTTCCTAGGCATTCCACTAAATAATCCCCAGGATTACAAGTGAGAAAATGAAGTTCCTTAATTTGACTCATCTGTGTGTTCCTCCTTTCAGGAAGTCTGATGGTTTCAAGTTCTTTGAAGAGGCCTCATCTCACCCTAAAATAAGAACTAACAACGCTTGAAGCTAGGTTTTAGGGAGCCCTGGTGTTTACACCCCTCTCTATGCACACACAGTCTCACACTCTCACATACATAATCACACACACACACACTCTCTCTCACATACTCACACTCACCTGCACACACTCACTGTGCAGCATTTAGTACCCGGAAGTTGTGTGTACCCTCCTGCATAGTAGGCTGTGTGATAACTTGTGATTTAGCCCAGTTTTTAATTGGATAGTGTCCTTGTTTGCTTTAAAATGCATAAGAAACGAGGACGTGAGAGCTATTTCCTTAATCTGCTTGGTTTCTAAATTAGAATGGAGTAGTCCAGAAAGTCATACAGCAAAATGTATTTTTCCCTTGGGGAAAAACAAACAACAACGATGAAACAGTAAATAAGCAAACTCAAGGGCAGCCTTCCATGGCCCATAGCCATAACCTTTAAAACCACTTCGGGACCAGCGTCGACTGTAGTCGACAGCCACAGATGAACATGCACAGAGACTGTAGCCGACAGCTGTGATATGACTTTTCTAATTTTTCATTTATCCAAATAAAATTGTGAACATTTAAAAATAACGTAATGAAAACATATATGTATATGTGACCTATTCTGATTTACATTACAAGTAAAGCTGCCTGTGAAGTAAAATAAGCTTTCAGTGCTTTCAAGCTTTCCTCATCACACAGGAGCAAAATGGATTCATTATCAATGCACAGCACGAAGTATCGTATGGACTGTGAGTGCCGGCTGTGGACGAGTGGTTAAATGACTTGGACTGCGAGAACAAAGGAGCAAGACCTGGGTGTAAATAAGAAGCACGTGATGAGAGAGCAGCAGGAGGGGGACACAGTGAGGAAAACCAGGACCGGGGCTCCTGAGAGCCACATGTGAGTAGACACATTGCCCTGCTTCTGCCCACAGGTCTCCTTGAGCGGACACTGGATGACCTCTGCCCCAATTATAACTCCACTGAGAAGTGAAACTGAAGAACTGGATAAAAATTTCTAATTATCACACTATTTGTGTTGATAAAATCTAATGTTGATACAATTTGTGACAAGTGTCACAAATGCTGACCCCTGTAATAGAAATGGTTCAAGCGTGGGGATTGGCTATCATGGGTGTTGGAGATTGACATTATATTTTCCTGGTTTAAGAATTAAATTTAGTAATGTACATGCTCTGCCCAGAGCGTTTGAAAGTAATGTGTTCCGGACAGGCTCCCTGTGATAAACAAGGTTGTTGCCTGGAGGCATAACAAAGGACCTGAGCTGCAAGTAAGCAAGAGCTGCCCAGCCCCACGGCATTAGGGGTCTGGAGGCCACAAGATAAACACATTGTTCCTGCGATTGCTGCTTAGCCCCATAAGATGGCTGGTTAGTCAATGACGGGTAAGACCCCTCAAGGGAGGGGCGACCTAAGCCAGGCACAGCTTCCAGGGATCAGCCTAAAAAGAACTGGGGACGAGAAATGCCCACTGTGGCTGCCTTGCCCATCCTTGCTAATCTCAGTCCGTGATCTATGCCTGGCACCTAGAGCAACCACCTGGAAACCTTGATATCAGGGGACATCTGTGTCCTTAAGGCTATGTGTTCTGGAATTTATGGCCATTGCTGCAATGCCTGGGTGGTTACGTATAAGGAACTAACGTTAATTTTTTAGAGTATAAAAATAAAACTGACCCGGTGTATTATCACTCGAGTCATGTAATTGTCTATATGTTTGTCTGTGTTTTTCTTTTGTGTTCTGTGTTTATCCTCCGTCCTGTAAACGAGCCATGGCACATGGGTTTAGATCCCTCTTGCTAGGTGGTTATTCCACCCTCTGAGGCTTGGTTATTTCATCTGTGAACAGGTGACAATAATACCTACACGATGAGATATAAAATAAGCAGTACACAGCAAGTTCCTGGAACCAACTAGGTTAACAGTAAACAGTGACAGTAGCAGTAGTTGCTTGCAATCACTGCTATCAGTACTTTACAGTTCTGATCTTGGTCCATGTCTGCCCTCACATCAAGTCCACTTATAAACCAACAGCACTCACCAATGAAGAGCTGGCTGTTGAGCTGTAAACGGATGTGCCCATTCACAGGGGCAGGTTGTATCTTTTCAGGGAGTTGGTCAACTTGAAGAGATGCTCCTTTGATGTTCCTTTCTGCCCTCAAGTGGTGCCACCGATTGTCATTAAAGGGAATAGGTGACTGCACTGTGACTTCGCAAGGCCCATTCCCCACATCAAAGGAAAAGGTCACAGCAGTGGGAGCTGGAAATATTATACATAAATATTACTCAAGTTAATAATTCGCAGGGGAGAAAATTTAGACTTGTGCAGACATAGGAAAATACCATGACATACTCATTACAAAAGGGGACAATGACATTGATGCAGAAAAAGTTACTCTGAGTTGGGCGAGGGGAGTATAAAATAAAAAAAAAATGGATTTTAACATACTTATCTTTACAGTTTACTATTCAATCTTACTAAGTCCTAAATCACAGCAATATGTATGCATTGCTAGAATACCAAATAGTATTTGTTTTACATGTTTAAGTAATTTTACTTAAAAATGGCTCAAAGCCTCATGCAATTTTAAAAACACTAAATTTTAATTTTGACAGTAATAAATTAAGCTTTGGGCACATGAAAAATAGTACTTCTGGTTAAATATTAATTCAGTAAATGATTGAATGAGGTTGGTTTAAAGTTGTGACCATACTTGGCATAGTCAAGAGAAGGTATAACATTTTAATGATCATTACATGCTTCATGCCTCCAAGTTTTATTTTCTCTTAAAAATAAAAATGATTAACTAAAATCATAGAATTTTAGTACTTAATAAAGAAATACGATTATAAAGTAAGAATGACAATACTTTAAAGTTTTGTTCAGTTAAAGCTTTTATTGCTAAAAAATGGGCATCCTATGACTTGTGAAGTATGGGCCACTCACCACGCAGCTCAATCCTGATAAAGTCCGTGATCCCCAGGTTCTCCATGAACACACCAGAGGAAACCGTGGTCTTAAAAAAGAAACTCACGTCAGCAGTAAGTTCTCCATGGAAAGTAGGGAAATGAAGGTATGAAGTCTCCGTGTTGAAGGAAGCTGAATTCCAAAATGACTCTGTTTCCAAAAAGACAAAAGGAAAAAAATCATGAAACAAAAATAACATGTACATTTTATACTTACAGGATTATTACTGCTAAATGTATTAATAATCTACATAATCCTTTACTGGGGATTCCAAACATCCATGCCATGTAGTTGTGACATCAACAGCCAAGTGATGATTATTTTCAGGACTGGAATTCAGCGTTGGGAAAGGGGTAGGGAAGGCAAAGCAAAAGCGTGTGACCAGTTAGGAGATGACACCAGCATGCAGCGGAGATGCTAAGAGAGGCCCGGGTTCAGAATAATTTTCAAGTTGGAGGCAATAGAATTGACTGATGAATTGGACGTGGGATGTGAGAGGAAGGGTGAAGTCTGAGATGACTGCAGAGTTTTTGGTCTAACTCAGATGGGGAACAATTTTGAGAAGGCGGGTTTCAAGTGGCTCAGTTTGGGACATGTTAAATCTGAGACACCTGCAAGGCGTCCAAGTGGAGATTTAAAGGAGGCAGTTGGACGTATGACTCTAGAAGCCAGAGCACAGACTTTTTTTCTGTCTTTTTTGCAAAGAAAACTGACCTAGTAATTCCCTCCATAGCAAAAACAAACAACAACAACATTTTTTTGTCCTTCTATTCCAGAATCCACTCTAGGACTACACAGTGTATTTATTTCTCCAGTCTCCGTTCTGGAACTGTCAGTCTTTTCTTATCTTTTTTTTTTTTTCTATTACTTTTTTTCTTTTTAGCATTTTTCAGTTGAATGTTCCTCTATTTGAATGTGTCTGACAAATTCATCATTAGATTCATGTTATGCATTTTTGTAAAATATGCCACCAAGGTGATTCTGTGTTCTTTGCAGTGTATCACACCAGGAGACAGGCAATGCTGATTAGCCCCGTGACTCGTCACGTTTGCTTTGATTGCCTTGTAAAGTGGTGTTTTTCAAGTTTCTCCGATACAAAATTACTATTTTTCTCTTTATAATTCATCCATATTTTGGCACTTAAAGCTATGAAAACATAACCTTACTCACTTTTTCAAACAGTCACCCATGGGTTTTATAATTTATTGATGGTTCTTGATTGAATTATTATAACTATGGCTGCCAATGTGATTTTTAAAGTTCCATCATTCCTTCTATATTAATTGGTTGGCATTCCTCTGTTAGAAAGAGCTTTTCTCTTGACTTTCTATTGATTGATTGATTTGTTTATATCAATATCACTCTTGGATTCCCATTCTATTCAATGATTTATAATCTTTAACTTACTTTGATGCTTAAATGGCCCCAAATGTGGACAATGGGATCCCTTTAAGCTGACAGCCATGTCCTCTTAACAAGTCCCTGTTATTTTTTGAGCTTATTTTTACTTTTTGTCACAAAAAGATGATCCAGGCTTATCTTATATTTTCTCTGCCCCATCTCTGGAGTCAGCCATTTCTCCAAGGTGTTATGGTTTCTTTTAGTGGAGAATAGTAGAAAATGGTGTTTAGAAGCCCAGATTTACATTCCAGACATGTCTTTGCTGCTGGGGTGTCATTGCTTCTAGGCCCTTCAGTACTCAGAGATAAGATAGGAAATACGTGTGCTTGTACACATATGTGTGCTTGTGCACATACAGCACACATACACATACATACACTTCTGTGTTTATTCTACAGGGTGCCCCAAAAGTCACCATACAAAGGGAAAATGGGAAATTGTAGCAAAATGTACCTTTGTTTACAAAATATTCATTACAAAATTTTATTAAATTTTCCCTTTGTATGGAGACTTTTGGGACACCTTGTATATTTATCTATTATATAGATAAATATATTAAAATCTATGAGTTCACACTAATACCCCCATTTCCAATCCAGCACCACAGGGTTCATTTCAATTTCCCCCCTTTCCACATGTAGAACTCCCTTCTTGGTGAGAAAATTGGCTCCCATCATCCCCAATTTATTTACGTATTTGCTTGGTCCCCAGCACAGAACCAGTCTCCCAACCCCAATTCCTTCACCCATCTCTGGAGCCCCACTGGCACTAGCCACCCAAGAAAATAGAAAAGAATCAAGAAATGTTGATTTAAAGAAAATAGAGATGAACACAAGGAAAGGGAAAGAGAAGGGCATTTTTGCAGTATGTGATATTGTAAATATCACACTTGATCTTTCCATACTTGGGGAGTCCTGTTGAGAAACTGAAGGTGAATGAAATATCCTGAAGAATCTCACAAATGTGCCCATATTTGGAGAGAAGTGAAGGGGTGAGGTGAGTTGCCAGAGGGGAAATAATCTAGAAATAATCTCAAAAGTGCAGAGTCCCTGCATTCCAATGCCTGATGCTAAAATCTCAACAGGCAGGGAAAAAAAAAAAGGCAGCTCCAAGTTTCCAGGGGTTAATGCTGAGCTGTGGGATGAATCCCAAACCTGTGAACATCAGGACATCAGTGTAGGATGCGCCCTGGTAGGATGTGACACTGGCACAGGCATTTAAATAAATCTCGAAGATGAAACAGCACTGAGAATGCCAGCAATCGGACACAACTCAACAGACCCCTCTCTCAACAACTTGGGATCTTAAATTATGGAAAAAATTGATAGAGTGACAGACTCTAGTCCTGTGATTACAGTTTAGAAGGGACAGACATAGGGGTCTGATTATGGAGAGACAGATGTCAAGAAGAATTCAACTATATTACATATAAATAAATTAAATGTCTGAATTATAAACAAGATAAAGCATCCCAGCAACTATGCACACATACTGTGAAAGATGGAAGGAAGGAAGGAAGGAAGGAAGGAAGGAAGGAAGGAAGGAAGGAAGGAAGGAGCACGTACGAGGCAGACTGAATGGGAGGAAAGGAGGACATGAAGACAGATCACAGCACACACATATGAAAAAGCTGATCTGAAAAAACACCCCCAGGGAAGGGAAACCCCTGTAAGAGTTTCATAGTATGGGAATAATACAAATACTAACTCAGTAAAACTAGATCTAAAAGATTAGATAATTCTAAAAGAGATTAAAAGAGATTTTTAAGAAAAAATAATCCTAACAAATCATCACTGAAATAAGAGATAAATCAGAAATATCTAGAAATGGAATGAATACAGCTGGTATCTAATGACTGAAATTGAAGAAAAACTTAGCATAATCACATTGAATACAGAGAAGGACAAAGACACTAAAGCAATTTGACAAAACAGAAAATGTATGGAGGGTAAAGGAAGACAGGTCAACATAAAGTCACAGATGCAGAGAATCCAACAAATGAAACAGAAAATGTATTTAAAGCACAATAATGAGCCTGGGAGTTTGAGAGGTTGCAGTGAGCTATGATTGTGTCACCGCACTCTAGCCTGGGTGAGAGAGCAAGCCTCTGTCTCAACAACAACAACAAAAGGCATAATAAAACCAATTTACCTAACGGAGAACAGAATATCGGAATATTTAGGTCAAAATAAGCATGCTTTATTTTAGGAAAAATTAACACTGAATAATTAACACTGAGGCATATTCTGCATATTCCAGATAAACTTTGAAATTGAAGGATAACCCATCTGTCAAGAACTGTGAAGAATCAGAGATTTCACCCTACTTGCGAACTAACAATTTAGCTTGCCACACTGTCATGGATGCTGATAGAAAACACAACACTTCTGGGTCAAAGTCAAAGAACTTTATCATAGCACAGCAAGCAGCAAAGGCACCAGAATATTTGCATCAGTTTCCTTTCTCTCCAAATCTCAGACAGCAATGCGATCCACCAGCCGGGGTCGATGCTGCACACACAGTAGGTTTGCATCTCAGATGAGGAACCCAGAGACAAGTGTCCGGGACTTTTTGAGCAAGTAGCAAACAAGCCAGAACTCCTCCCCTCTGGGGAGTGAATAGCCATCGGCGGCAATGCTGTATTCTCTGACCTCCTTCGTTGCCTACACAGTTGGTTACAGAAACTGCCCGGTACCAGAAGCAGACGCTGGTGGTCTGGCACACCCCCAAGAACGGGCAGGGCTGCTCAGGTCCGCACTGGACTACCTCTCTCAGCAGTACCCTACACATACTGGGGCAGAGAAGTAAATCGAAATACATTCAGTCTCAGACTTCTCCACAGAAACGGACAATGCTAGGGTATAAGAAACAGTATTAAAACTCTTCTCAGGGAAATAAGATTTTTATATCTGGCTTAGCTGCTGTTCAGGTCCTCACCGACTTGACACAATTCTGGGGATGTAGCACCAATGAGCCCTGGGTGGGTGAGGGAAAGCTTGACCAAGGAATCCAACCATGAATGAAAACGTTGCCATAAAAAATATTAAATAATGCTCAGTACCATATAATGAGGAGATGATATGTACAAAGGTCTGAAAAAAGAAAGTGTGTCCCCATAATTTTATACCACCACCGTTGTTTGAAGTATATATGGGCTACTGAATAAATATCCCCAAGCATTTACAAACTCAGGAAATTCTTCACTTAATGACTGTTTTGGAAGAAATATAATAAATGGACAATAAATCCAGCCAACCAAGTAATAAGTTAAAACAAAGATAATTCATCCTCTGTAAACGAATTCTTCACTAAGGAAATACTGATCTTCAGTACACACAGTGTTTTTATGATAGCAGTGCTTGTCTGAGATCCATCCTGGTCCCAGTACTGCCACCAATTTTCTTTCTGGCCAAAATAAGGGTATTTATAACCAAAACATGTTATGAAAAGAAATGTTTTTCTTGCCACTTACTGTCCCCCTGGCAGAGCAGCGGCCCCAGGGTATAAGCTGCTTCTGAATGCGGTCGGCCTGTGTCTGCCATCACAACCTGGGTGACCGGCAGGTGCTCCTTTTGGGAAAGGACTACTGTGTCACTGGTCCTAAAAAACAACAACGAAAATCCTTAAAATTGTCCTGATTAACATAATGACAAAATTAGCTATGATCTCTTATTGTAATTTGAAATCAACATTAAAGGACTTAACTGAACAATTAAAGACATTTTCAATATTTTGAGAGAACAGAGACTATGATGAATCTAAGTCGGGGTCTGGCAAACATTTTCTGTACAAGGCCACAGAGTAAGTGATTTTGGCTTCGCAGGCCATGCACCCTCTTGCAGCTACGACTTCACTCTGCCTGCAGAGTGTGCAAGCAGCCACAGACAATAACAAATAGGCATGGCCGTGTTGCAATGATAATTTATAGACACTGAAATATGATTTTCATACAAGTTTTGTATGTCATGAAATATTCTTCCTTTTATTTTTCAACCATTTAAAAATGTGAAAAAGACATTCTTAGCTCATGGGCCATATAAAAACAGGCCAGTGGGCTGGATTTGACCCATAAGCAGTAGTTTACCAACTCTTGACTCATTTGCTAAGTCCTGGTCTAAATAACCACAGAGAGGAAAGGGGGAAACCCAGAAGGGTGGTCATTTTGCAAGCATAGGATTTTCACAGTAATTAAGCATATAACTTCTCTTGTAAAAGTAGTTTTAGGATAATATCTGAATGATTATTGATTACAAATATAAATGGTAACACTAGATTTAGATATTTATTTCACAGAATATTAATTTATCATTAATGTTTTAAACTCCTTTTACTGTACCTGGGTATTTCTTTCCTTGCTAACTTTATAGATTGAAGAAACAACTCCATAGATTCAAAACCAAAATAAATACAACATCCTTACAATAAATATAGACTAATGGGTGTGAAAGTGTCCTGTGAAATGCTGTCTCCAGTCACTGAGTCGACACCCACTCAAGCTCACCTCCTGCTGGGCAGGCGCTGTGCCAGGCGCGGAGAACACAGAGCAAAAACTACAGTCTCTGCCCCCTAACAGCACACAGCCTATTGGACATCATGAATATTAACTATTATTACCATCATCATCATTGTCACTCCATGAGTAAGTGACTGGGAAAATAAATGCACATCACTGAGCCTGGAGGAGAAGCTGGGAGGCCTGGGGTCCTGGTGCGAGCTATGCATTTAATTTCCTCTCTGGCCAAAGTAAAGGCATTTGTCTGCTCTTTTGCAGAAAATACTTATACTGTATGCTTATATTTATATACCCATGCTTATATATTATCATATATCTATGCCTCCATTGCATGTGTATTCTGATTTACAGACAAAACACTCTCATGCAGCTCCTCATTCTGACATAGAATCTCTATAGAATCTAGCAAATACTTTTTCTTTAAATTGCTCAGTTCCCAAACCTTTCTTTGTTTGGATTTGTGGCAAAAGATCAGAATAACTAATATTTAATCATTGCAATCCTTTTGTATTTGCAAAACAAAGTTTTCCAAATAAAAAACTTAAATTGATATATCATAGTTATATATATTTTGGGGGTACATGTGATATTTTTATAACCATGTCCAATGCGTAATGATCAAATCAGAGTAATTGGAATATCCATAACTCCAAACACTTATCTTTTCATTGTCTTGGGAACATTATCTTCCTTTGTGTAATTCTTGAAATATACAATAAACTATTATTAACTATAATTTCCCAACTATACTATCAAATATTAGAACTTATTCCTTTTATCTAACTATATTTTTATACACATTAACCAACTTCTTTCATAAAAGACTTTAGGCATCAAAGTTTCAAATTTGAAAAGATAGAACTAAAATAAAATGACTACATTATTTAAAATTTTCATCCTGTAAAAAAAAGGCAAACTATAGTGCACATAAAGAGATTTAAATTAATATGAATTAAATATCCTGAAAAATGAAATATTTAATGGTAAAGAAAGATTATTTCTTAAAAAATTATTTCTAAAATCAGACTAAAATCCCATTGCCTTACCTAGTTAAGACTGTGTTACTCATGTTTATGCACAGAAAAGAGCATGGATTATCTAAAAATCATCCCCATTCAGCTTTGGAGTGGACTGATGGTAGACAAGCTAGAAATGTATCTCCTGGGAAGTGAGGTAGGCAGTCTGAGAAATTTTTTACCAATGTAGTAGGCATCAAAAATAACTATTTCAGCTTCTGGGATTGCCATTTTAGCAAGATGGCTTAGTAGAGGAAATGCAATTCTGTTAGTTGTTCATGGAGGACGCTTGAATGTTAAAGACCCATTTTGCATTAAGGCTGCAAGTTTCATTTCATTTTTAACACTGAAAGTTGTACAAAACACTGGGGATGTGTAAGGACAAGCCGTAGTGGATTTCGTTGCATTAGGGCAGATACTACAATAAGGACTTTTTAATCTGAGCATAAGAATGGCCAACATTTTTCACCAATTTCTAATTGGTATAGTCAGATCCCAATCTTCTCAGATTCAAATAGAATACTGCAGATTTGTCATGGTTACCAACCAGATCTACTCAAAACTTCCCAATAAAAGGGACATCTCAATGTTCTTCTTTCCTTCCTATTATTTTCTAAAATTTATACTATAGTCTAAAGTTGGAAATAGTACATTTTAAGGTACAAAAATTTCTTATAGCAGTATTAAAAATTCAGTAATTTCACTTTTCACTTAAAAGTTCCCATTGCTCAAGAAAGTATACTTTCCTAGGAAGTACAAAAACTCCTAAAAGCTACCACTCATCGTTTGCCAGGGGAATTCATTTGATGCAAAGTAGAGCTATAAATTTGTTAAGCTAAAAGGGTGAAATATTGAATCAATGTTAACTTTTAAAGATTTTTTGGGGGGAGTAAGTCAGGAATAACAACATCATTATGAGACACAACTAATCCGTTTTAAAAATTTCCAGGTTCTCAATTTCTGTTTAATCAGTCGATCTGCCTATTGCTTGGCTGATTCAACCTGCACTATTGCTGCAGCAATATATGTATCTTGATAGGATTAGTATCCTCACCTTGTTTTCCAGCTTAGAAATTATCCTGCTTATTTTTTAACTCTTAGTTTCTCTATTAATTTTAAAATCAGCTTGCTGCAATCTATACAAATAAACAGAACACTTGGCATTTGTTTGTAATTTCATTAAATTGATAGTTTAATTTGAGGAGAATGATACCTTTAAGACAGGATTTCTCTAATATCGACAGCATTATGGATATTTTGGACCAGATGATGTTTTGTTGTGGGGGCTGTCCTGTGCATTGGTGGAATGTTTAACAGCAGCTTCCACTTACTACACACCAGTAGAAAAAATTCCCCTCCCTTTGTGACAACAAAAATATCTTCAGAAAATGCCAAATATCCCCTGGGGGTCAAGTTTACTCTTGATTGAGAACCACTGCTTTAAGATATTGAGTCCATGACAGTAGTGAATCAATCTATATATTTGGTCGTCTTTAATTCTCTCAATAAAGTTTTATAATTTTCACAAAAGTATTGCAGTTATTTCACAGAACTTTACATTTTTTTTAATATTGCAAATAATTTTACTAGGTTTTATAATGGTAATTATTTTATTAATATGATATAGAAATTCAAGTAATTTCTCAATATCGACTGATCATAAATTCAGCAAATTCACTGAACTCTCATTTATCCTGATAATATTTCCTTAGATTACCTTAGATTTTCTGTGTTCACAATCATGCTGTCTACAGTGCCTGCCAGCCTGGTTTCTTCTTTTCTAATTTTTCTGTTATTTCCATGAAGTACCTGCATTTCATTTCTTTGTGTGTCTTTGACTGGCACATGTACAAGCTTTTAAGAGCTGTATGCTATTGATTTATAACACATTACAATTAAGGATATAGTTTCTATCATGCTAATTCTCTAAAATTTGTTAAGATTCCACTCATCTGCAAACTGTTCTATACTTGCTTGAGAATGACATATATTGTATAATTGTATATGGCTGCAATATCAAGTTTGTTATAGTATTATAATATTCTTATCTGCTTCATTTATTGATTACCAAAAATGTTACATTAAATTATTCCACTATTTTGGGTAATTTGTCTCTTCCTTTTGCATATTAGTTAATTTTTTTCTTTATACATTTTAAACAATTTGATGATGCATACAAGTGTAGTTAGATCTTTCCAGTGAGTTAACCTCAGCACTAAATAGGGTCCAATTTTATCCTTAATAATGCTTTTTGTCTTTGTCTGATATACACAGCTATACCTGTTTATTTTTGGAGTTTGCATTTACCTGATAAATATCTTCCATTCTTTTACTTCCAACTTTACTGAGTGCTTGCTTATGTTTTATCTTTTGTACACAAGCTATAGTTTCTTTAAAAATTTAACACCATAAGGTCTGTCTGGCTTTTATTTATTTATTTATTTCATTTCAGAATATTAAAGGGGGACACTTTGGTTACATATATTGGCTTTTAAATGAATAAAGAGTTCATTCACATTTATTGTGATTATTTGTACATTTGAATATCTTTAAGTTATCTTATTTTATGCTTTTTATTTTTATTTATTTATTTAAAGGGCTCTGAAATAATTACATGAAAGTCCTATTTAAATTCTTAGAAGTAAAATAATATTACATTTATATTGGTAATCATTATAACTATCAAAATAATGTGAAGTTTTGAAAATAGTTGAATTATATGTCATATGCATATTTTAGAGAATATATATGTCTCTTTAAACATAGTCCACTATATGTTTATATTCATATATTGATTTGGAGTATAGTTTAATATTTTAAATTATTATAGTACCCTTTAAATATATTTATATCATAAACTTATGGAATATTATAATTAGTTATTTGATAGAAAATTCTTATTCTAACTGGGGTACTGTCTGATTATAAATTATTATTTTCATATAGCATGATTTAGAAAGACCTGCTGATTACAGGGACAACTTATGGAAAAATGGTGGCAGTTTATATTACCAGTACTACTGGTCACATTAATAGACACGCACATGAAGAGATAGCAAAATAGCTTTCAATTTACTTCCATTACTGAATAATATTCTGTCATTATAAACTTCTCACTATGAAAAACTTTCTAAGCACCTCAATAATTACTTAAGGAAAGACTTTGAATAAAAACTAGGATTAGGTTCTTATTTCTATATCCTAATCCATATTATTATAATTATAGATCTTTTCATCTTTACTTATAACTTTAATCATAAACTCCTTAGAATTTCATTTTTATAAAGTGATTGAAAAATTAATTTCATTTGAAAAATTAAAATTGAAATTGGAATTCCCCAGCCATCTCCCACATACACACACCCATATTTACAAAACATATTCTAAAGAGTTGGGACAGAATTGGAGAATTGTTATATTCTTACTGTTGAATAAGACCTGTCTACTAGAAGTTTCAAAGTAAATAAGCTTAAAAAGCAATGACTCCACAATCCCCACTTCTGAAATTAGGATTGGATTTAATTTTTCAATCTGTTTCCCTCTTAAACTTTCCTCTGAATGAAAAGCCCAGGTCTTCTCTCACACGAGTGCAGCCCTTTACTCTAATGAACTGAAGCTGACACAGCTAAGAGTGTCAGAAGACGTGACCCATATCAGTTTCTGTCCCCTGCCTCACTACTCAGTATGTAGGAAGGTCATTCAATCCAGTAATATCCTTCACACACATGTGGTGTGTTCCTCTAGTTACTGCCCCAAGCAAATGAGATATACAATAAAGTATGCACTTAATACTAATAGAATGTTCTATAACTTTTTTAAAAAAATAGATTTAACATTCTTCAAACCACAACATAAAGTCACCAGAATATATATAATTCTGGCTTTCTAGCAATGCCCTGCCAAATCTCTCCTCTCTGACCTATAAGGGAATGAGGGTGGGGACACACCAGTGAACCTTAGGTCTCCTAAGAGTCAGGAGTTAGACACAGGCAGGAGCCCCTCGTGGAATAGAAGGAAAGAAAACCTCTAGGATTGTTAGAGATGCCCTGCAAGAAGATTTGAATGGGCTGTTGGTCTCATTATGGAGCCCAAGGTTAACAAATATCATCACATTGCAATACTAGACACTTTATAGTGTACATCTAAACTTTTACAAGAGTATTTTAATTGGCAGAAGGTTATATAAGACCTGGGAATTACTGGTGGCCAAATGTAAAACTACAGGTCAGATTTTATTTCCTGTTACTCACTGCACTAAAATTGCATTCAATTTTTAAATGGGAAAAAGCTATCATGGGACTGTACATCAAAATATTGAAAACCATTGTCTCATAAATCTATATGATGATTTTGTAATTTTGAACTTGAGGAACCGTAAAAATAATCCCCATACATATTCTACTGACAACTCCCGTCTATTCAAGTACGTTTTTCAAATTCAATAATATTTTTTAAAGTGATTCGAAATAGCCTTTATTTATGCCTACTAAGTAAAGGGACTACCATGAAGTCCAAATGGTAAACTCAATTTTTACTGTAGGAATCAAATTACTGCTTAGATTATTTTATAGCCAAATCAACTATATTGACACCTGATTGACCATTAAGATTTTTTTTTAAAGAATGTATTCTACATAGTCTAGTTGTTTTATGACAATGTTTTTGAGTTGCCAACATGAATCCAGAAATGTAAAACATTTCACATTACAAATAAAAAACAAGACCAATACACATTCCAAAAATAACCTCAAAAACAACTTCTATAAAAAGAAGCATGCAATCTACTTGAGAAAACTCTTGCCTTCAAAAGAAAGCTTAAAGTAAAATTTTCAAATCCTTGAAATTCTATGTGTTAGTTTTTTCAAAGTGTGTTCTATAGAACGTTTGGTTCTTAAGGCTTTGGTATTGCACTAACAAAGAGTTAAGTGAGTGTAGGAGATTGTTGATTCCACAAAATAAACACAGTCCTTTTATGCAGGACCTCTCAGAGTTCTAAGGTATTAATGTTTACTGTGAATTTCTAAAAGAATGATAGAACATGCAGCATTATATCCCAAATCTACTATGATAAAGATTTGGAGGAATTCACCTTTGAGTTGCTACTATGAGTAAACTATGTGAATACTTGATAGATTAATCAAATTAAACTTCCAAAAGACTGCTATTTGATTTCCAGTAAGTGGAAAACTTACCAGGTGTTTCTATTTTAGAAAAAAATAAAATGTCAATTATATAGTATTCACAGTGATACAGTAAGTCTTTGGTCACAAAATTTAATATTTAGATTAATTGATCATATTTCAGCAAAACATATTTGTAACTTGCTTGAACATACTTTAATCTAGTTACCTTTTTGTACCAGCTTGTCTGATATTTAATTAACTATACATAATTAAGGAATAAAAACTAAATTTTTGTGCAGGGAAATCATGTGGGAATCACCATTCATTCCGGCCAGCATCACAGTTGCAGTAATACTGAGAATCAATGCAGTTCCCTTCTAATCCACAAGTACACTTTTGAGCACCAGGCAGAGAACCTCCCCAGTAAGTGTGTGTTTCATTGGTTCTTCCAACCCACCAGCTCAGGGGGGTTCCATCTGAAAGACAAGTATGAGAAAGATGATATCTACTTTGCCCCCCACTATCACCACCCCAATACAGTTCCCTTTACTCCCAGGTTTAAGTACACATGTGCATGTATGTGTGAGAAAGAGAGAGAGAGAGGGAGAGAGAGAGAGAGGGAATGAGAACACACTTCAGAAGTTGCATTTCACCTCCACAACAAAGATCTTTCTTTAAGCATTCTAATCAACCTTTTTCCTCCAATATTTCAAAATATGGGCTTAAATGATGCCCATCTATTTTTCTTATATTAGAAAATGAATCCCTAACTTTTTTGTATATGATGTTACATACTCTCCATAGAAATAACATTCAAACAAAATTGCCATCAAAACAAAAGCCAGAATAATTCATACACCAAAGACAAAATTTGTTTGAGATGATCAAATACTTATGGAGAAAGTTTAATGTTATAAAAAGACACTGATTTATCTCATGACATCTTTTTGCTAAGAACAGTAGCTGTATGTCTAATATGGCACTCCCTGTCAGGACTTACAAATTTTTGGAGGAAAGTGTTTTCCTTGCATTGAATGGCCTGACTCGATTTGGAGGCTAAAGAAATGACACTGATAAGTCTTCTTCATGCTTAGGGTGAATCATAAGTTCAGAAACAAAGTGCTCCTGGGTCAACTACAGCTCTGATTAGTGCAGATGTTTAGAAACCATCTCGTCCTCAGCACGAGCAATGATTAAATGATACAGCCAGACACTGACTTAGTTCTACAGAAATGTATATTAGGATAAGAGTACACCTCCCAGTGAAATTAGGATAATTTAAAAAGGTGTGTAGGCCGTCCATCTTAAAAAGAGGAAGGGAGTGGGAGGAGACAAATTGCAGTCATCATGGCATTAGGGCAAGAGGAAAATGGAAGAGGATTAACTCAATCAATTTCTCAAATGTGCTTGACCATTTTGTGCTTTTTTAAAAATTCATTGGTTGTTAACATTGGGCCCTGAATTGGTACCTGGAAGTCATGCCAGTTTCCTTCTTACCGCTTACTACGACTCAATTATGATTCATTCATAGATAAGACTTCTATATTCATTACCACCACTGCCCACTACCCACCACCCATTACCACCCACCCACATACTCTCCATAAAAAGAGAAAAAAAAAAATTCTGGAAAGTTTACAAAGGAATCAATATCAATAATCTTTTAAAAATATATGAAAGTTTGATACCGGGAAGTGAAAGATACTTTAAAAATAATATATTTTTTATACTACTACTTTAAAAATTACTTCACCAATAAACTTTCATAGATTAAAGAGCAAAAAACTTTATATCCTAATACACAAGTGTAAGTTTATGCCTAAATCTTCCATATTCCCTATAAAGTAGTAAAAAAACCATTTTTTAGTAATAGTAAATATCTTTGGATCTGATGAAATGTTTTTAAAGTGGACTAAAGAATTTAGAGAACTATCAAAAAAGACTTAACAGAGAACTTCTGGACTGATGAGGAACATATAGACTTATCTGTCCCTGCTTCTCCCCACTAAGTATGATTATAAAACCTGGAAATAATACAAAAGACAACCAAATGGGAGTCCAAAAAATGGAAAGAAGAAGGTTAACTAGTTAGGACCCCAGGCCTGGAGGAAAATTATAGCAGTTTACACAGCATCTTACAACTCCCCATGCAACAGAAGAATACACACATCTGATGTGTTCTGAACCCCAAACTAGCAACATAAGGTGGCCCAGAGAAGATCAGTCCTCCCTCCCATGGCAAAGGGGCTAAGTGGAAATGAAGCTGACAGTAAGTAGCCAGGGAAATGCTCTCCTTCTCCAGGGCCTGAGATTTCCTACCCTCACTTAAAGACCCTGAAAGGCTGGGAGGCATCAGCATGGGTTTCTATAACAACAAATGCCTGACCTGGGAAGCAGTCTCTACCTCTCAGATGCAGGGTGGAACCTACCATGACAATCACAGCCATGGAACACCCTTCATGCCGTGGGCCTGAGCTGCCCTTCCCCCACATAGAGGCACCACACATCCCAGCCTAGGGAAGCTCCTTCTATCCCCCCAAGCAGCACTGGCAGGGAGCAGTAGGAATCCAAGCAGCACAGATAAACCAAACTGATCAAAACAGCCCAACAAAAGCTCTGAAAATTAGATTATCATTGAAACCACAGCCTATAAAAAATAGGCTAAAACCTACACACCAAACCTAATGAGGGTGACTATATGCTAAAATAAAAATGTAAATAACACCAGAATCTCCTCAATTGCCAAAAGAACTACCTCAGACACAATCACTGGGAAAATCACTTGCCATGCCAAACCAGAAATCGTAACTTTCCGGAAAGAGACAATCAACTGACACCAACACCAAGGATGAATCCAAATTATCTGGCAAAGATTTTAAAAGCAATGATCATAAAAAAAAAAAAAAAGTGATTCCACAAGCAACTACAAATTATCTTGAAACATATGAAAAGAAAAACTCAGTAAAGAAATAGAAGTTATTAAAAAATTAAATGTAAATTATAATACTGAAAAAATAACTTTTAATAAACTAACTGAAGGGGGTCAGGAATAGAGTGCAAAAGACAGGATAGAATCAGCAATCTTGAGGACAGTTCAATAGATTTTACTCAACCTAACCAACAAAGAGAAATATACTGAATATAAAAAGGACAGAGCCTCAGGGACCAACGGAATAATAACAAAAGGTCCAACATTTGTATCACCTTAATCCCAAAAATAGTGAAGAAGAAAGTGGGGCTGAAAGAGTATTTGAAAAAATACTGGCTGCAAACTTCCCAAATGTGGTGAAAGACATAAATCCACAGATTCAAGAAGTTGAGCACATAGAAAAAGGAATAGGCTGGGCGTGGTGGCTCACACCTGTAATACTAGCACTCTGGGAGGCCAAGGCAGGTGGATCCTTTGAGCTCAGGAGTTGGAGACCAGCCTGAGCAAGAGTGAGACCCTGTCTCTACTAACAACAACAACAACAACAAAAACAAAAACAGAAAGAAATTAGCTGGACAACTAAAAATATATACATAAAAAATTAGCCGGGCATGGTGGCACATGTCTGTGGTCTCCGCTACTCTGGAGGCTGAGGCAGTAGGATTGCTTGAGCCCAGGAATCTGAGGTTGCTATGAGCTAGGCTGATGCCATGGCACTCTAACCTGGGCAACAGAGTGAGACTCTGTCTCAAAAAACCAAAACAAAACAAAAAGCTGACACCAAAGGGACTAGTTTACTACAGTATAAAGAGCCTGGGGGAAAGGAAATTCCCAGCAGCAGCCCCTCTAGCTTCCTTCTCACCCAGGGTAAGGGGCAGGAGGCCGAGAAGCACTGTGAAGGTCACATCCTAGAAAAACAGACTCACAAAAAGACTGACCTAATCACAGGAGTGCAGAATGCTTCGCCTCTCCCCGAACCTTACCACCACATCAAAAGGTTGCCTGCATAATAACGGGATTATAGGGGAAAGAACTGTAAGCTGCAGACCTACTTAAGGTGGAGTCTATAGGGAAAACTCAAAACAAGGGAAAGAGAAAAAATATCCCAGAGTAAATTAGCCTCTGACACCACAGTTATACAATGAGTAAACACTGCCAGAGAAACGTAAAACCTCACAATAAAGGCCTACTTACCTCAGATCCTTTTGCCAATACAACATGTCCAGCTTATAACAGGAAATTTCAAGGCATGCTAAAGGAAAATAGCACAGTCTGAAGTGACAAAGCAAGCATCATACACATACTCAGATGTGACAGAGGTTTTGAAATTATGAGATTTAGGAACTTAAAATAATAATGATCAATATGTTAAGGGCTCTAAGTTTAAAAAGTGGACATCACGAAAGAACAGATAAGTATATAAACAGAGAGAGGGAATCTCCAAGGAAGAATCAAAATGAAATGCTAGAAATTAAAAAAATACAGTCACAGAAATGTATAATGCCTTGGATGGGCTCATTGGTAAACTGGACCAGGCTAAGGAAAGAGTCAGCGAGCTTCGAGATAAGTCAATAGAAACCTCCCATTAAAAAACAAAGAATAAACAATGAAAAAACAAAACAGAATATCCAAGATCTATAAGACAATTTCAAAAGGTGTAACATAATGGGAATACTGGAAGAGTAGGAAGACAGAGAGGAACAGAAGAAATATTCAAAATAATTATGGCTGAGAATTTTTTAAATTTAGTAACAGACACCAAACCACTGATCCAGGAATCTCAGAGAACATCAAGCAGAATAATCTACATGTAGGCAAATCTACACATAGGCAAATCATATTTACAATACAGAAAATCAAAGACTAAGAGAAAATCTTGAAAGAAACCAGAGTAAAATAAAACCTTACCTACAGAGGAATAAGGATAAGAATTATGGCAGATTTCTTTTAAGAACCCACCCAAGCAAGAGATTGGAATGAAACATTTAACGTGTTGAGAAAAAACAAACACTAACCTAGAATTCTATATCCAGTATAATTATCCAAAGTAGTCAAGTAGAAATAAAGACTTTTTCAGATACACAAAAAGTGAGGGAATTTGTCACCAGGAGACTTGCCTTGCAAGCCATGTTAAAAGAAGATCCTCAGAGAGAAGAAAAATGAGATAGATCAGAGGTACATAAAGAAAGGAGAACATCAGAGAAGGAATAAATGAAGGTAAAATAACATCTTTTGTCTTTTTCTTAATTGATATACAAGCAATAGTTCAACAATGTATTGGGTGATTGTAGTTTATGGGTAAGTGAAATGAATGATAGCAATGTAATAAGGAATCAGACAGAAGAATTGAAAACACTTTGTTATAAAGTACTTGTACTATCAATGAAGTGGAACAGTGTTATTTGAAAGTAAATTAGTTATGATATTTGTTTTAAAGTCAAGGGTAACCACTAAAACAATTAAAAAGAAGTATAATTGATATGCTGGAAGAATAGAGAAAATGGAATCATACAAAATATTCAATTACAACTAGAAAAAAAGAGAGAGATGAATTAAAAAAAAGAAAAGTAAAAAGAAAATAAAGGGCAACAACTAAAAAAGTTACAATATGGTAAATATTACTCCAAGAATCAATAATCATTTTAAGTGTGAATGGTCTAAATATACCAATTAAAAGACAGAGACTGTCAGAGTGGACAAAAAACAAGATCCAACTATATGTTGTCTATGAAAATCCTCTTTAAATATAAAATAACAGATTTAAAATAAATGGATGTAGGAAACTGTATCATGCTAACACTAGTCAAAATAAAGCCAGAGTATCTATATTAATTTCAGATGAAACTGACTTCAGAGCAAGGAAATTATCAGGGATGAATAAGGGTGTTACACAATGATAAAGAGGTACATTCTCCAAGAAAATATAATAATATTTAATTAATGTGTATATACTTAACAACAGAAGAGTCAAACTATGTGAGGTTGAAACTGATGGAACTTCAAGGACAAAGAGACAAATCCACTATTAACACTGGAGAATTCAACACCCCTCCATCAGTAACTGACAGATCCAGGAGGCAGAAAATCATTAAGGATTGATTTGAACTGAACAGCATCATCAATCAACTGGATCTAATTCATATTTATAGAATACTTCATTCAACCACCACAGAATATATATTCATTCCAAATACAAATACACATTTCACTAAGCTAGATCACATTCTAGGCCATAAAACACTTTAACAAATTTAAAAGAATAGAAATCATTTGTAGAACATAGAAATAGACACACAGAAATATGTCCAACTGGTGTTTGACAATGTTGAAAATACAGTTCAACGTAGGAAGGATAGCCTTTTCAACAAAGGGTTCTAGAGCAACTGGACACTCTTAGGCAAAAAACCAAAACAGAAACAGAGAGAGAGAGTATATATGCACCTGAGCGCCTTGACCTAACTCTCACACCTTACACAAAAAGTATCCCAAAATGAGGCATGGAATTAAAAGTAACATGTAAAACTGTAAAACTTTTAGAAAAATATTGAAAGTCTTTGGGACTTAGGGGTAGGCAAAGAATTTTTAGAATTCACATCAAATGCACAATCCATAAAAGGAAAAAATTATATAAATTGGACCTCATCAAAATTAAAAGTTTTGCTCTACAAAACACCCAGCTAAAAGACAAACAGACAAGCTACAGAGTGGGAAAAAATATTTGCAAATAACATATTCAAAAAAGGACCAGTATCTAGAATATACAAAGAACTGAAATCTCAAAATAAAGTAACAAAATAAACAAATAAACCAATCCAATTAGAAAATGGAAAAAAAAGGCACAGAAATTTCACTGAAAAGGATATACAGATGGCAAGTAAGTACATGGAAAGATATTCAGTACTATTAGACATCATGGAAATGCAAATTAAAACCACAATGAAGATATTACTATACACCTATCAGAATAGGTAAAATAAAAATTGGTAGCAACACTAAGTGTTGATGTGGATGTGAAGGAAATAAAATCCTTATACAATTTTGATGGGAATAGTACAGCCACTCTAGAAAACAGTTTAGCAAGTTTTTATAAAAATAAATATACAATTACCATATGACCCAGCAATTGCACTTTTGAACATTTGTCCCACAGAAACGAAAACTTAGGTTCACACAAAACCTGTACATGAATGTTCATAAAAGCTTTATTTGTAATAGCCCCAAAATGTAAACAACCAGATGCCCTTCGGTGGGTGAATGGGTGACTATGGTACACCCATACCACTGGTTACTACTCACCAACAAAAAAACGAATTATTGATACACACAACAATGTAAATACATCTAGAGAGGATTATGCTGAGTGGAAAAACTCAATTGCAAAAGGGTACTTATTGCATGATTCCACTGACATAACATTTTTGGAATTAAAAAAACCCGTAGAAATGGAGAATAGATTAGTGGTTGCTAGGGCTTACACCCTGGTGAGTGGGAGGGGCAGCAGGTGCGGTTATTAAGGAGCAATATGAGGGATTCTCATACTGACGGAAACATTATGAATCTTGACTGCATCAATGTCAGTATTCTGGTTGTGATAGTGAACTACAGTTTTGCAAGATGTTATCATTATAGGGAACTGGAGTAAAGGGTACTCAGTTCTCTCCATTATTTCTCACAAGTATATGTGAATCCACAATTATCTCAAAAAAAAAGAAGTAAAACAAAATAAGAAAATATATAAATATTATATATTTAAAATATTTAAATATTATATATTTAAAATATATAAAGAAGAAATATATTCTCTTTTTCAAAAGATAAGAAATAGGGGAATTATCAATGACTGGAGTAGAATATTCAATTTCTTTGATTATTTCAGGCCCTAGCCCAAGAGTTTCCAAAAGATCACCTGGGGATCTTTTAAACTAAACTTCCAAAGCTCAGGCTACATCCCAGACAAATTAAATCACAATTTCTAGGTACAAGACACAGGCATGGGGAGTGTTTGTATATGGAGCCTGTAGAAAAGGGACACTACTTTGTTCCTAAAGTAGTTTTACAAACTCATATTTGTTCACTTTCAATAATCTATTCTTCGAATTAAAAATTCGATTTTGTTGTTTTACAATAATCCTTATATCTAGAAATAAATCCAAATAGGTAATAGCTAGCAAATGCATGCATTAAATCCTAGTCCTCGGGGAGGGTTTCCCTGCTGCCCTGTGCAGTGTCCAGCCTGTGGGGCGTCCACAAGGGTGCTTTCCTACCGGCTCACTGGGTGATGTGGTTTTCCGGTTCCATTAGAGGTTCACTCCCATGTGACTTGCTCAGTTTCTTCACCTAGCCTGTCATTGCCTAGTTAACTAATCTAAAGTGTTTTGTTACATAGTCTTGGTTTAGATTGCTGTAATTATCTTTCTTACTGATTAAGGTTCAACAGCAATATAATTAAATTTTGTAATACCATAAATATAAAAAAACTAGACAGCTAGGGATGGGAATTTCTTACTTCCTGAACTTTCTTTAGGTTATCATCTCATTTATGTAAGAAACCCTATGAGATCAGAACTATTGGGTCCATTTCACTTGAGAGGAAAGTGAGTCTTAGAAAGAGTAAGCAATGAGCTAAATTTCCACGCTGCTAAGTGACAGACTTGGAATGTGAACTTCAGATTTGGAAATGGAAAAAATCCTTTGCTTTTTCTACTAGGCTGCAGTGGCTGACAGGCATCCAAAGAAGGGACAGATCACTCTGAGAAGGGACTCCAGTAGGGACCGCCCAGGTCTTGCACAATGGGTAAGATTTAAGAGAGTGACAGGCAGCGAGGAGACCATCCAGGTGGAGGAAGTGGTAGAAAACGTCTGGCCTGGGGAAGAACATGGTCTGGTGTATTCCAGGGACCAATTGGCCAGGAGAGGTGCAGATTAGGGAAGACAGTACAGGCGTGGGCCAGGCCACCTCCAGATGAGACTCACACACCACTTTTCAACGTAATGAAAGATTGTGGATTGAAAATTTAACCGTGAAATTTAAGAGTGGCTTCCATAAGCCAGGCATGGTGGCTTACACCTGTGATTCTAGCACTCTGGGAGGCCAAGGTGGGAGAATCATTTTAGGTCAGGAGTTCAAGACCATCCTGAACCCTGAGCAAAAGTGAGATCTGTGTCTACTAAAAATAGAAAAAGTTAGCAGGACGTGATGTCACATGCCTGTAGTCCCCTACTGGGGAAGCTGAGGCAGTAGATCGCTTGCACTCAGGAGTTTGAGGTTGCTGTGAGCTAAGCTAACGTCATGGTACTCTAGCCTGGGCAACAGAGAGAGAGGCTCTGTCTCAAAAAGAAAAAAAAGTGGCTTCCTTATGCTACTAACATATACTACTTTTGATTGTTAAATTTTAAAAAATGAAAGGCAAACTTCAGTATTTAACTATCATTAACAATAAAGTATTTGCAGTAAACCATATGGCACCTGTGTTGGGGACAGTGGGGAGTTCTGTAGCAGACTGTGGGGATTCTTGGAAAGAGGAAGAAAAAAACGTGCCTTTGACTTAAGAGAAGAGGGTTATGATGCAAACAGAGCTTCCTAAGGGTTATTTGCATTTATGAAGATAAAGATATACGTTGGATAATTTGGGAAAAATGGGAGACCAGCTGAAAAAATCTTGTCATGACTTCCGTAAATATTTCATGCTCGACCAAAGTGGGGGTGGCAGGTCTGGTGAATAAACAGTGGCATCCGTAGATTTAGAAGTAGGCTATGAGAAGAGCAAGGAGGACGCGTTACTGGCTCCCGCTGGTCTTCGGAAAACAACTGGGTTAGCCACCACGTCCTAGTTGCCAACAGAAAGCTAAGTCATAATGTTATTAGCAAAATTCCCCTTGAATAAAAAACACAAAAACACGCCACTAGTCCTGCACGTGAATGCTGAACGTCCACCAACTGTCAGGAGAGCACTAATGACTGCTCTGTGATCCCGAAGGGGCGGGAGAACGGCCGGGCCTCGAACTGCGCGCCACGCGGACGACCTCGGCCTTCCCTCCCGGCCTTCCCTCCGGCCTTCCCTCCCGGCCTTCCCTCCGGCCTTCCCTCCCGGCCTTCCCTCCGGCCTTCCCTCCGCCTCCTCCGCCTTCCCTCCCGGCTCCCCCGCGCCCGCGCGCCGCCCTTACCTGGCGCGTCGGGAGCCGCGGCGTCCCGCAGCGCAGAGCCAGCCGCTGCTCGCAGCGCTCGGCCGGGCCCAGGCGGCCGCAGCTGCCCCGCGCCCGCCGCGTACGCGAAGGAGGCCGCAGAGCGCGGGCGCCCTCGGGCCGCGCCTCGCACCGCCACCGCGTCCGGGCCGCTGTGCCGCACCACCGTCCACGCCGCGTCCGCTGCAGAAGCCGGGCAAACAGGGCGCGTCACCGGGCTGGAGGCCAGCGGGAGTGCGCAGAGCAGAACGGTCTTTTATTTGAATAACTTTTTAATTGCAGTTTATATCATTCATGTTTGCAGCGATTTTGAGGGTTGGATTTGTGTAACGATGGACTTAGCCAGACCTCGGCCTCTGACAGACAGTATGTTGGGAGAACTGATGTTCAGACTTTTGGGACATCACGTCTAAAAGCATATAATGCGAGCGATGACTTCCTAGTTCTCAAAACTGTTTTTTTACGTCTACGCAAGCATGAGGGCAAACTGTGATTGCCTGTACATTTTTTAAAAATTATCTGTATTTTCCTCATCTGTATGTGCATCTATTTCTCTCATTAGCAAATAAATTTATAAAAGACACATTTTGGTATGATGTGAGCCACATACTGGCCGAATATAATAAGAATCAGCTCTATTCTATAAAATTGTTTAATTGTGTCAGCTTCTCAATCAAGCACTGCAGAGTCCCGGCCTTGAGCATCTCACTGACGTATTCCAGGTGGTAGCGCCCACATCTGCCTGCTGACATAATTTCTGATGTACTTCTGTCACTTTGAGTAATCCTAATTGTTTTGATAAAATAAAAATAAACAACTTCACAATCTCATAAGTGAAGAAACACACCTTGGGTTCTTTGAAGTCTCCAAAGTGATTCAGGCAGTGTAAAGCATCACCAACTGCACAAATACCTGCAGTATTATGCAGCAGTCAGTGGAAGAGAAGCTGACTTCAAGTCATCTTGATTCTACTACATTGGTGCTATCTGGTCCTTTAACCTCTAAAAAGATATATTTAGTACAATGGACATTTCCTATAGGATTTTTCCTACCTGGAGAGACTGGGTAACATTCTCATGGAGATTTTTATAAGAATTAAAAGTCAAGACAATGCAATAGGTTTCACACTGAGAAATCACCCTCCCACCCTTTCACATATCAAGATTTTTAATGGCTTGGTTGCTAAATGTGCATGAGACAAATTTGACAGCCTTACTGTGCTTACACACTCCTAACATAGCAAGAATACAACAAAAAACAGAAATCCAAGGAAAGAGGGACAAGAAAACCAGAAGTGCTGCTGGAATATCTGCTTAGTCACAGACGTTATGGAGAGCAAAGACCTAGTGCCCACAAATGAGCAGCAGGTATAGAAAGAATCTGTGAATTTAAATAACAAATGCAATTTTAAATTAATCGGTCACTTGGCTCACTGTACTCACCAAAAAAGGCTCGAAATGTCCTACAGCAATTTCCGCTCCATAGATTCTTCTTTTTATAATATTCCAACTTAGATTTTTTTTTTAATTTTAGAATTTTTAAAACCTGGCATTATTTTCTGCACATCATCTACTCTACATTCACTTTCACGTTTCTCCTATCAACTGACTGAAATATACAGAAATCTTACAGGACACCAGGGTAGGCACCCAGGGTAAGGGATCACGTGCCGTTTGTTGTCAGGTGCTCAGGGCTTGCCATACAGTGGGAGAGAAATGATGGTCCTGCGTAGTTCACATGGGCTGGCGGTCACTATGGCAGTACACATGGTTAAAATGTAGACAGAGAGAACGTCCTCAGTACTGAGAAGGGAAGTGTTGAGAATATATCTGTAAAATTGTTTTTTCTGAAGAGCAGAATAGTAATATGGGGACATTATGTGATATATGTTTGTGTTTATAAAATTCGACTTAAGTCACTAATCTTTATGATATCAGCGGTAAAAGACCCAAGGAAGAACACATATAATTGTTATGTTTCTCTAATTGTTCATAATTTATTTTAATAGATTCTAAGCATATTGGAGCTGGGAAGGATCTTAAAGAGCCTCTAATTATAACCCGTATATTTATATTTATGAAGAAAAGCCTAAAAATTTTAAGTCATCATTTTAATGGAAAAGCACATACTTTATGATTCCTATAGTTTGAATCCTGAATTGGACCTGAGGAAATTAATTTTAACAGTGGTCAAATGTGGCAAGGGTTTCAGAGGTGTGGTTGAGCAGACACAACATGTATGTTCTGACTCACTGGAGCCTGCCTCATTGGCCTACAAGGAGGGTGACTATTAGGTCAGCAGCCCCCAACCTTTCTGGCACCAGAGACCCATTTCATGGAAAACAGTTCTTCCACAGGTGGGGTGGAGGGGCAGAGGGAAGCGGAGCTCAGGCAGAGATGCACGCCTGGTTCCTAACAGGCCACGGACCTGTACCGGGCTATGGCCCAGGGGTTGGGGCCCACAGTATTAGGTGATCGCTCAAATAACCATCCAATTTAGAAAACTGTGAGCTAAAATAAAATCTCAATGCCCCCTAGCTGACTGAATGGACTCTTGGCCAAGGGGAACCCAGAAATACCCTGAAGCTAAGTTGCTCACCATGAGAAGGCAGGTCAGACGTGCCCCTCATGCCCCCTCCTCATGCCCCCTTCCCTTCTTGGAGATATCCTTTGCAACTCATTAACAGGCCTATGGCTATGCAAGACAAAGCTTAAACCACACCTGCAAGTCATCCATTTACTTAACATAGTAAAGACTGGGACCCAGGACTGATTTCATAGAAGATAATTTTCCATGGAGGGGGCGGGCTGGGGGGCATGGAGGAGGATAGGCGGAGCTCAGGCAGGGATGCTAGCCATGGGGAGCAGCTGTAAATACACCCACCACTCCCCTTGGGCTGTGTGGCCCAGTTCGTAACAGGCCATGGACTGGTACTGGTCGGAGGCCCGGGGCTTGGGGACTGCAGACTTAACAGATCACTTGAGTCTGGGTATATATTCCATGACTTGTCTCTGATTAACAGACTTCCTTATCTTAACTTAAAACATTCCAGGCCTTTAGACAAAGCTTCATTTCTTTAACAGATTACAAATCAAAGAATCTATAAACCCACCTATAACCTATAATGCCCCACTTCAAGATGTCCTGCCTTTTGGGGACCAAAGCAATGTACACCTTACATGCATTGATTTAAGACTTTCTGTCTCCCTAAAATGTATAAAACCAAATTGTAACCCAACCATGGCAAGATCACTTATTCAAGGTTTCTTGGGCATAGCTCCAGGCCACAGTCACTCATACTTGGCTTAGAATAAACCTTTTAAAATTATTTTACAGAGTTTGGGTTGATGAAATTAAGCTAATTTAACTTCATGATTTGATTGGGATTAGTAGCACAAATGGTCCTCCATTTACATTGCGGTTGCATCTCAAGAAACCCATGGTAGGTTGAAAATATCATAAGTGAAAAATGCATTTAATACACTTAGCCTAGTCTATTTTAAATGTGCTAAGAACAAGTACATTAGCCTACAGTTGGGCAAAGTCATCTTACAATCCTATCTTACAATTAAGTGTTGAATATCTTTTTTTTTTTTTTTCTTTTTAGAAGAGGAAATGAAGTCAGAAAGTGTTGAATATCTAATGTAATTCATTGAATACTATATTGAAAGTGAAAAACAGAACAGTCAGATGGGTCCTTGAAGTATGGTTTCTACTGAATGTGTATTGCTTTAACATCACAATGTTGAAAAATTATAGGTGGAACCATCAGAAATTGGGGATCATCTGTATTTAAATAATAAAATGTGCTCAATATAGCATATGAATCCCCAGCCAGCATCTAGTATGCCCATTCCCATGTGCTCAGGAAGAAAAAAGAAAGTAAGATCCACCAAGATCCACAGTGCTCTGTTGTTAGGAGCACACAAATATCTTTTTGGAGAACTGATCCCTTTGTCTGACAAAGGGTGTCTTCGCTTTTCAAGGATAATTTTGCAAGGTGCAGAACTCTAAGCAGTTTTTTTTTTCTTTTTTCCAACACTTTAAATATCTCACTCCACACTTCTTGCTTGCATGGTTTCTGAAGAGAGGTCAGATGGAATACTTACTGTGGCTCCTCTATAGGTAATGTGTTTCTTTTCCTCTTTTTTCGAAATTTTTTCTTTTCCTTTGATTTTTCTACAGTTTGAATACATATGCCTAGGTGTATTTTTTGAGGGGGTTAGCAGGGCACTTATACTGCCTTAGTTTTCTCTAAACTTTCTGGATCTGTGGTTTGGTGTCTGACATTAATTTGTGGGAATTTTCTGTCATAATTGCTTCAAATATTGCTTATGTGCCTTTCTCTCTTCTCCTTCTAAAATTCTCTTTACACATGTTATACTTTTTATAGTTGTACCACTATTCTGACATGTGATCTTTTTTTTGTTAAGTCTCTTTAAGCCTTTTTTTTCCTCTTTGCCTTTTAGTTTTGGAAGTCTCTTTTGTGATACCTCCATGTTAGAAATTCTTTCCTTAGCTGAGTCCAGTCTACTAATGAGCTCATCATAGACATTCTTCATTTGTGTTACAGAGGTTTTGGTGTCTAGCAGTCCTTCTTTCTTAGAATTTCTGTCTCTCTGCTCACATTGCTCATCTGTTCTTGCATGCTGTCTACTTTATCCATTAGAGATTTCAGCATATTCAGTATAGTTGTTTTAAATTTTCTGATAAATCCAACATCTCTGCCATACCTGAGTCTGTTTCTGATGCTTGTTCTGTCTCCTCAAACAGAACACGATGGCCAGACACGATGTACTAGATAATAGTAACTTCTGCAAAGAGGCCTTTCGTAATGTTAGTAAGATGTGTGGAAGGGAAGCATTCTATAGCCTATGATTAGGTCTCAGTCTTTTAGCAAATCTGTGCCTCTGGGCTGTGAACTTCACAAGTGCTTCTCAGCTCTCAGCCCAGGTGGGATCTGATGACTAGAGGGGGCTGGAGTTGGGTATTTCCCTTCCTCCAGGTAGGTTAGGCTCTGAAAAAAAACACTAGTTTAGGTCCTGGTAAAATATTTTCTCTTGAGGTAAGGCCTTGTTAAGAAGCATAGGATACTCAGGTGTACTTCAGAATGGTTCCTGTTCATCTCCTCTTCTGGAAGCATGAAGAGCTTTTTCTCCGATGTTCACTGTGAGAACCTTCTCAAGGTTCTAGAGGTGAAACTCACAAAAGTGTAGGGACTCTTCTATGACTGGGTCCCTGGGAGTTTTTAGTCTCAGACTTGTCCACACTGAGCATGCAGCAATTCATCACTTTCAGTTTAGGTTTTTCTACCTTGAGACTAGTGTCCCCAAAGGTTTCTGCTTATGGGGATAAGTAATGATTGTATGTTTTTGCCGCTCTGGGAGGTAATTTTGGGGGGCAGAGGTTTGCTCTGTGACCTCAATTCTCTGCTGCATCCAAAAAGATTTGTCGATTTTTCAGCCTGTTCAGCTTTTTCTTTGTCGATTTTTCAGCCTGTTCAGCTTTTTCTTTGTCGATTTTTCAGCCTGCTCAGCTTTTTCTTTGTTGTAAGCTCCAACCATGCTGGACTGAAACCATTGTTTTTTGAAGGTTTTACCATATATACATTTCTTTAAATCTATTGCAATAGTGGTTTGACTATAGCACATTTTATAATTGTTTTTGCTTGATTTGCACAACTAGAGAATATTTTATTGGCTATAGGGCAATGCAACATCTAGAGAGAAGATGACCATTTCTAGGGAAGAAAAGAGACCAGATTTAGTGACTCCTCTGTCATTAACTAGATTTTGTCAGTAGATACTTCTCTAACCAAATTCTTTAAGCTTTGGTTTCCTCATCTTAGAATGATGACCACAAAGTTTCTTCCTGGTTGTGACTTTGGTTGAGTTCTTTGGTTTCTGCCAAGACCACTTAATGGGGTTTCTCACTGTAAGTTGGAATCTCTTGGCAGGACTTCTGAATTTTGGTGGCTCTGAATTTTCTGAACTTTCCCTAAGAAGGTTTAATATTTTTGGCAATCTTTGCCAAAGCATTTTTATTTCCTATGTACTTTCAGTTTTCTGTTTTATTTTTTCTTGGTGTTTTCTGACCCATTTGATTACTGTCCACATTTATGAAACTTTGGAACTTTTTCTCAGCACAATAGATGAGAACTATTTATTCCATATTTCCACTTTCTGGAGAGTTGGAAGAGCTAGGTAATAACAAATTTCTGTAAAAATTTAACTGTCTAAGAGAAATTTTACTGAAATCTTCTATAATCAAGCTGTATTCATTTGTAATAATATCTAAACCAGGAGTGGTTTTATAATAACAGAATCAAAGAATCAAATTACTTCAATCATGAAAAAAATATATGCCATACAAATCACTAAATTATCTAAGATGTACATAACACACTAATATATATTATTTCTTAGCACTTCTAAAGACTTCTGTTTTTTTCTAAATTTAGAAAACACATAAATAATAGAATCAAAGCTTTATATTTTATTGTGATGCATGTGAACAGATATATTAGGAGAAGAGTAGAAGCTGCAGGGATGCCCTGGCAGAGCATCAAAGCTTGCCTATAATCTGACCAAGGTAAACAAAAAATACAAGAAAATTTTGTTGGCAAAAAATTAATAAGTACATATTTAATACATCTACTTAGAAGTACACAATTATCAAACGGCATGTTTTAATAGCACTGACACTAGGTAAATTTTTCCTTGGTCTATTGTGATCGTATATGTAAACAGCAGATAAATGCATTTAAAGGTTATTAACATACCTGTCATATTGCAGTACACAAGAAATGGTCCCAGGGGGCCACTTCCATCTGCGTCAATGTAGTAAAGCCCAGAAGGGTTCCCTTTGTGCTTGTAAGCTTCGCAGGACTGCTGGTAGAGAGCTGAAGGAGAACAACATCCATCCGAAATGGAGTGAATCCCCCAACATTTTTAATTAGAATCCAAAAGATTTCCATTTCTGAATTACAGACATATGATACATATTACCCAACATCATTTTTTAGTAATGTATATGACATTATATTTGATTAGATGGAAGAAAAAAATGACATTTTAAGAATTAAATGTATTTTTATTAACAAAGATGGAAATTACCTAGTCAATGTATTTAAATGTTGAATGCTATAAAGTGCTGAATAAATATTTTGTGTATAATATATTTCTATTTGGGGGAAGAAGGAAATAGTGTATTGGTGTTGAAAAATGAAGATGTAGTTGCAAAGGGAATGTGATACCATCTTCAATACAGCCTTTTGGTAATGTCTAGCGATTATATTTTCTCCACGCAAATGTTTTCTCTTGCTTTTAAGCAGTGAGGCATGAAAATTCTGAAGTACAGTGTAAAAAATTTGAAAAGGTATTATAGGGAAACCTGTGAATCTGAATCCCAGGTGCTGTTGAAGCATGATTCTTTTTAAACTTGTGGCAACTATACTTAAGAATAAAGTTCTGTAATTAAAGAAGAAACCTTCTTTCTACCTGTAATAATTGAAGCACATTAGTTTTAACATAACTAAATAATCTGGTACTATCCAATAAGCATGCTGTAAAGTATGTTAAATTATGCAGTAATTATACCCTCTGCTTACTTAAAAGCAAACTACAAATAAGTATTTTAAAGAGATAAATATAATTTACAAACTGGCAAACTCTCTTCATTAGAAAATATTTACAATTGATTTGAAAAAGAAGTTTCCTTAAGTATTCTGCAAATGACAATTCAAGACAATTGAAATTGAAAACAGGAGAGAAAAAAATTTCGTGAAAGATGTTCCTATATAATGTTAACTTATTCTGAAATAATTCAATATTTTTATTGTGAAAGTAAATGCCTTACCAAGTGCAAGGTATGGAATTAACATGTGCAGGTGATGGCCATGTTAATGTCTAGCGTAAGTTTACAAGGAAGATTAACAGGGTAACAGGCTGGCTGGCAGGAAAGCACACAATGAAGAAGCGGAAGGATGATAATGGCTCCTGAAAGAAGCTACATGAGGGACACCAGCCTTGTGGGACCCTCTCATTAGAGCTGTAAGTACCAGCTTCACTTGTATCAGCACATTTTGGCATCTCTACCGACAAGGTTGGGGAGGACAAACAGAGTAAATGGATGAAATATAAGGAAAAAGCAGCCATCAATCATATGGGAAAGAGAAAGGAAAAGATATATGCCATTAAAAGAAAGACATTTATACCCTGACTGAATTATCCACACTTACTTTCATAAATAGTCATTGAAAAAATGTTTTCAAACACTTAAGGCAAAACCCAAAGACAGGCATGGGAGTTATTTTTCTCTCATTTCACCAAATAAGAGATTTAGAGAACTGTTTCTTTGCAAGAAAAAAATCTAAAAACTAAGCAACCCTAATGTAAATGTGGCCGACTGTCAAACAAGAGTTGTTCCACAATAAATTGCCCCAAATCAATCGTGTTCCTTTCACAATTAGAAGATGGAGACATAAATAGGATGGATTGCCTTTCTGTAATTCTTTACTTTTTTTGTCACTCATTATATATTTACTTAAGTAGAAACATATATTTATAAATGCCTAATAGATTCACTCAAATTAATAACAATGGTTAGATTTGGGGTACAGGGTAGGTTTAGATAGGGAACAAATATTGAGGGGGCAATTAGGAGAACTTTTGCTTTATGTGAATTGTTTGACTTTTTAAATGACAATGTAGAGATGTACTAATTGTATAATTGTCCAAAATAAAAATAGCCTATTATAACTAGGTGTAGCAATCTAGCCTCATGGTCAATGGCATGGTAAAATTCCACCTTTGCTTAGAACATCTGTTTGAAAACCACAACAGAGTCAACCCAATTATGAGATCAGGTTGACATTTGAATTGTTTTTTCAATCTTCTGATATTTTCCTTCTGAATTGTGTGGCATTGTGTTTTGATTACAGTGAATAACCATGCATTAACATGACTCATTCATTAAACACAACATGTAAGAGATGATGCTGGGTGTGGCGGAGGACACAAAGGGGTTGTCTAGCAACATACAGGATGAGGCATCTGCTTTGTGTAAGATACTCTGCTCAGAGGATGGAAGACACACAGAAGTACAAGATCTGGCCACTGCACCAGCTCTGTGACCTTCTCAAGACATTCAGCCTCTGATTTTAGAGGCCACTCAACTCCTCGAAAGAGTGGAATGGCTTTACAGACAAAAACCCTTTTAGTACTAAGATCATGCTTGATATTTTAATTCGTAACAGAGTTGGCCATGGACAGTCTTCTTCTTTTTTGCCCAGATCTTTTGTAGAACCTCAGAGCTGGGAGTATAGGATTCTCATTTAGCTACATTTGCATGTGTAAAGTGAGTTTTTAAAAATCCCAACCTTGCCTTCCTTCTATAGTTTTTGTGAAAATCAAATTAAATAAGTCCAATGGAAGAGTTCTTAAATGTTTCAAGTAGGACCTCAGTGTGAGCAAGTCAGTGGTAGAACTGAGGACTTTGTATCTTACTCCGTTTTCTTGAAGATGTCGATCAAATGGCATGGTCTTTAAAATACACAGAGGATGATTCTTCAGTAAAGACAGACGGTCTTTAATACAGGAGAGGCAGTGGAGAAGCGTTAGAATACAACATCCCTTAGACGTTGTTCTCATATTTCACTGAACGTCAGAAGCACACAGAAGGTTGGTTAAAACAGACTTCTGGGCCCCCTCCCCATAGACTCTGCTTCAGTAGGTTTGGTGAGACCTGACATTCCTGACTGTAACAAGTCCCCATGTGGTTCTGATGCTCGCTGGGCTGAGGACCACCCTTCAGGCATCCTGGAGCCAACTTCCTTAGCTCAGCTCCTATCACACCACCAACTAGCTGCAGATCAAGTTACTTAAGCTCCTTCTGTCCTCAACTCTTTCATGAAGATAATAACAGTACTTTCTTCCTAGAGCTGCTTTAGGGTTAAGTGCGTTAATACACGCAAAACACTAGAAGAGGACAGGCATATGTAAGTACTCAATAAATGTACACTTTTGTAATTATTAACTCTGCAATCATCATCAAAGAAATCACAGTTGTAAGAGACTTTAAGGATCCTCTAGTTTCTAGCTGATATCTAATTGCCTCTTTTAAAACCTTATCATGTAGCATTCCCATTCCGTGATTTTTAAAAAAATCTTTAATATTATTACATTTAACATTGAGAGCCTGGCAACTGATTGTTTTTTCATCTCTCCTTGACTGAAAAGATTCTCAGAATTAAAAGTATGTTCCAAATCAAGCAATGGAACAAGATGTTATATCACACATTCTTGATTTAATTTAATGTTTACCCTTGACTGTATCTCATTTTCTTACACTTATTTTCCCACTGCTTGTCAGCTTCTGTTTTCTATCCTATTTAGTACCACATGTGTCTGTGCACTACCTCAACACCCTTGTATTAAATGAGTTGGAGGATTAAAAATAAATGAGAAATTAATTAGGTGCTAAAATATCTCATCTGATGTGTTCGCATGATTTCAAATATGCAGATACACATCAACAACTAATGGAAATGGAATGACAAAGAAATCATGATGGAAATGAGAACAATGAGGCTTGAGGCTTACAGGAATGGCAGGTCTCGCCTGTGTAGCCTGTGCCCAGACAGTCACAGGAGAAGGAGTCCCACGACTGGGAACATTCGCCCCCATGCTCGCAGTAGCTGGGCAAGCACCTAAAAGAAAACAGACACAACTACTATTTCCCTTTTTCAATCATCCTAAATGTTTATTTACTAAAAATAGATTAATGTGACAAAACAGCATATATCTGAAAATTCCACATGACATGCAATTACTGGGTCTGCCATCACGGTTCTCTAATCATACTGATAAATTTTAGATAAATATATCCATGAGCATGAAGCTGATTATTATGTATGTGTGACAGCTGAATTTTCAACATCATATTTTTCTTTTTGCCCCAAGTGACACAACGATACTTCACATGTGGCTAGCAAAATGAATTACATACGTAAAATTATAAAATTTGTCATGCTCCATCACTACATTGTGGGCATTTTTAAAGGAAAGTACGGGAGGCAGGGAAGGAGAGACAGGGGAGGAAATGGAACAGGAGCATCTCAGTCACACAGCAACATAGATTCAGGAATTTGAAGAACATTTAATTGAGGTAATCTTGTCCCCTTTTAGATTTAAAAGGAGCAATCTGTTATTGGAAGACTTAATACTGTTAAGATGTCAATACGACCCGAAGCAATCTACATACAGTTTCAATGCAATGCCTATCAAAATTCCAATGGCTTTTTAAAATTTTTTTCCAGAAATAGAAAACTCCACCCTAAAATTTATAGGGAATTTTAAAGGACCCAGAATAGCTAAAATAATCTTGAAAAAGAGCAAAGTTGGAGGTCTCACACTTCCAGAGTTCCCTGGACTCGTCGGGCGCCGGTGGAGGTTGCGTGCCCAGCACGCCTGGCTCTGGATTGCTGGAGGGAGGAGGGAAGAGAAGGAGGAAGGAGGAAGGAGGAAGGAGGAAGGGAGGAAGGAGAAGGGAGGAGGAGGGAGAGGAGGGGATGAGAGGAAGGGAGGAAGAGAAGGGGAGAAGGGCGGAAGGCGGGGCGGGGCGGGGACGGCAAAGGCAGGGCGCTGCGCCCGTGGACCTAGCCAGCCGGTGTGGACCTAGCCAGCGGTGCCGCACCGGGAAGCTTCACCGGCGCCCGCCTAGCGCCTCCGCCCGCCTCTGACTGCATGGAGCGAGCGGGGTTGGCCCGGCCTCTGCCCGCCTCCTCCGTGCTGAGAATGGGGCGAAGGGCGGGAGACCCAGGGCAGGTCTAAAGGCCACCGCCCTTCCTCTGGGCGGCCAGGGAGGGAGGCTGTGCGGGAGGCCGGAGGCCGCGGTTGAGGAGAAAGGCCGGGCAGGAGCTGGGGTGTGGAGGTGACAGGAAGCCCCAAGGGCCTGTGTTGGGTCCCTTCAGGGATCCCCTGAGGGCACCGAAGGGCTGGGCAGAAAAGCCCACAGCCCCCCTGGCCTCGAGGTCCCCAGCACCCCATCCTGGCCCCTGCAATGCCGCCCTCCCCCGCCCAGCTTGGGGTGGAGACTGACTAATTACGTGAGGCTGATGAGAGTTGAGTCTGCTTTGGGGGAAGAATCGTTATGGACAATCAGAATCCCAACTTTTCAAATGTTTCCAGGGCCCCCAGGCGTGGCAAAGCCTGCACGGACTGACCTAAAGGAGACCCTTGCCGGGAGGAGGGGTCCGGTGAGACTGGGGTGGGGGAGGCCCACTTCAGTGTCACTGTTTTTAAAAAACAGCTGTTCCTCTTCTTCCTCCGCCGCTTCCTACTCCTTGTTAACATAGTGGGACATCATAAGATCATACCTGATTTGAAGATTCCACAACTTTTTTAAAAGATTAAAAACCATTGCTGTTTGCTTTCAATGGGGATAGTGTCATTTTACTTAAAAATATTTTGGAATAAGACCTTCTACATGATCAAGAGAATATCAGTAAGTATATGCTAATTTTTTCAACTAAGTGCAGTATGGATTAGGAAACATTTACCCGTGGTAGAGGAGGCAGCCAGCACAGAGGGGACCAACGCAGGGAGGGGGCAGGTGTGGAGAGTGGGCTGACCACAGTCGGGGACCAGACGGAGGCCCCCCTGCTCTAGGGGATCCGGGCAGCAGAAGCCCCATGGGAATCTCTGTCACATGGCATATAGGGCAAAGGTAAGACTAGGCTTTTTCACCTAAAGATCATAGCAGTCTGATCTAAGAGGTGATATTGGAAGTTCAAACCTGTCCAAACAAAACAGTCATAGTTGTGGCTCTGTCATTAACAGTGCCAATTGTCTATTTTTTGCTTAGCCTAAAATCTTGATTAAAAAGGATAACGTCATACTCCCATATTTGTCCCTAAGTAGGATTTTTAAGTTTGGTATTTGATTTTGAATGACATGTATTTCTATTTTGTGAATTAAAATAGTTTTGTTTTTTTTTAAGAACAACCAAAAGCTAATAGATGTTTACAGGCCTATTTTCAGGATACTTAAAAGTGCATTTTCAGCACTTTTGAGATTTTCAACCTGAATATAAAGGAAGTAGCAAAGGTCCTTTACTTTTAATTCTGTAGAACCTCATTTTGTGCACCAAAGTTTCTTAATTTTTATTCTTTTATAAAATTCTCGGGGAGCTAGACTTTTACTACAGAGACTCTATATAGTGAATAACTTCTGTTTGTAGTCCTATTTGAAAAGAATTTAAAAGTGCTTTCTTAAAACCTGTATCTGAGATGATCACTGTACACACTGTGGCTGAAGTTAAACTGTGGCTCACATACACATGCTTAGTTGAACATATTTACAAGTAACTTGGGGTACACTTTAGAATCCCTTTAAAAATATGGGATCTTAGAGACCAATTAAACACCAATGTAACTCCTGAAACTTTAGGGTTAAAATAGAAAAGCCTTTAACCACTTCAGCAGCGCACTCACCAGCGGTGAAACCTTGCCCACAGCTGGCACTCACAGTCCCACCCATAGTCTGTGCTGTGCATGGACGACGGATCCGTTTTGCTCTTGTGTGACGAGGAAAGCTTTAACGCACTGAAAGCTTGTTTTACTTTACAGGCAGCTTTACTTGTAAATCAGAATAGGTAACATATACATATATGTTTTCATTACGTTATTTTTAAATGTTCACAATTTTATCTTGATAAATGAAAAATTAGAAAAGTCATATCACAGCTGTCGCCTAAAGTTGCTGTGCGCGTTCATCTGTGGCTGTCGACTATAGTCGAAGCTCGTACCAAAGTGGTTAATAGTAAAAAAAAAATTAGTTTTCTTTACTTTTTGAGCTTCATGCACAAAACAGGCAGCGCGGGTCCTTTCTGGTAAAGGCAGCTTTGGGATATATTCTCATAACAGATACACCGTGGACGGAGCATATTTTGTGAGTAATGGACAAGGTTTCACAACAATGTCTGACATGCAGTGTAAATCACACTTGCATCACAGCTGAGCTGACAGCTCTCATCACTGCCAATGCGGGCCCATGGGACACCTCCCTTGGATCCACAGACAGCAGAGTGGGGGCTGCTCCCTGCCTGGAGAGCAGCTTTGCACTGAGCGAGCAGCCGAAGCCTCCCCAGCTACCCTCCCTACGACCACGGCACGGCTTGGGGTCCCTGAGCTGGTGCGGGATGGCTGGGGAACGTAGTCCCAGGCCTGAGCCAAGAATTCTATTCCCAGGGCCAACACTGAGAGTTATTAGACAAATTCCTACTTTATGCACTCCTCATCTTTGAATTAATTTTTTCCTACAAATCAACATGATGTTCACAGGGGAAAATTAATTGTTGTTGAATAAACGAAGTTCATAGGAGTTACTTTTTTACATAATAGGAATTATGTTCTTTTAATGAGTTTGATTCTTATTTAAGCTTTTGAGATAATACTACATATGGTATAATGTTTAATTTTGGCAAGATCATCTCTGAGAGAAAGTGGATTAAGAAATAATTTAAAAATAGAGATAGTTTACTGAAGTGTCTCTGACAATCTGACAATCTTACTTATACAGTAAGCGATATATAATATTAAACAAGTATTTATTTAGAAATGGAAGATTTAGAACATATAGGTTATTTAACTTGAGTTCTGCCTTTTTGTAACATATTTGAAAGTGCAAACAATGCTTTGGGTTATTAAGTAAGGTATACAATACGCATGGCTTCTCAAATTTAGTTTTAACATCTAAAAAATGTCTGAAATCAAATGTGTAGATAATCTACTAAGTTTACTTGGAGGCCAAAAAACTCCAATTAAAATAACACAAAAAACCTTTAAGAGAATGTAGAATTTATATAAACACAAAATATGCATTGAAGATCTATTTCTACCAATAAACATTAAAATGAAAAAATATATATCACTAAGTATGGTTTGTGAATTACAACCTGTTTAGCTGAAGATGATAATTTGACAGTTTAGAACTAACACAAAGAAGAAGAAAAGGTTTGAAATGACTACGAAATGTAGAAATATCTTCTTAATTTTTTAATTTGTAGCATTTATCTATTTGTTGAAAGTAGATACCAAAGGGATGGCACTAAGGCATATCATAAGTAGAAATGTTGTTTTTCCAGGTGTGAATCAGTGTTTCTTTTCAGCCAAAATCACTATAAATATTAATATATGGCACATCTGGCTGCCTAACTGTGGTTATAATACTTAATTTTTATAAATTAGATGTTTTGTCTTCTCTATATTTCATGGAGTCTATGTCATTATGCACATATATTCACCCATCTCTTGCGGTTCAAACTTTCCTAGGAGGACACATTGCTTTTAATTTTCTCTGCAGAAGGGGTAGTATTGGGTGGCTGATGAAAAGCAGCAACCGGTCAGGTTGCCACGCCCAGGGAAGTGTCATCCACCTGAGGGGGCAGGGTTGCAAAAGCTGGTTGATAACCATGAACTGAGTAACCTGGAATAATACTAAGTTAAAATTCATAAGGAATATATCTTCTAATAAAATACTGTCATTTGAAAAATGCTATTTATTCAATTAAAGATTGCAGTTTTCTAATCCTCATTGTAAATATGATTATTTCATTCCCTCTGGAATGATAATGGAAAAAAAGAGAGTGAAATGCTTTATTTTCCAGTTGTCTACCATTAAAACAAAACAACAACTTTGAAAACAGGTACGCTAAGGTGACCTAAGATAGCCCTTACCTGTCTGTGATGCCACAAGAGTCTATCTGGAGATCACTGAAACGCCCCAGCGCCCCCTGCTGTACAGAGATGGGATCCACCACTGTGTCCCCAATGGAGATGCGCCTCAGGCAGCCCTGGAACCCCTGCAGGGGACCTTTACATCCGGAGCCAGAGCTGTTGTCCGGACAGCCTGAATACGGAGACATAAACACAGGACAAAAGCAGCAACTATGACAACACTATTCCAAAGTTCTTATCACACGAAGACCGCTGCTTCCCCTAGTTTAGGGACAGCTGAGGAATGCACTTGGACATGCTGTGACACGGCTGCACCAGTCACTAGAGAGGTGGGGAGAAACACAGGTTAGGATGGATCAAAATAAGATTATATCTGGAATTCAGAATAAAAAGTATGGGGGAAAATGAAGATTTGGAATTCCTATAACAGGAATTAATGCACATCAAAATAAAGAGTTTTTCTATTTTGTTATTTTTAATTATGATTTTGATAGTTTTAAGGATATACAGTGGTGCTGTCTGGGTGTTTAGTGTACCCATCCTCCAAATAGCGTGTGTTCCCCCATAGGTAGTTCTTCTCCTCTGGCTCCCCTCTCACCCCCACTTCTGAGTCTCCAGTGTCCATTGCACCACTCTGTGCCCCCCTGTGCCCACAGCTTAGCTCCCACTTATAAGCGAGAACATGAGGTGTTTGGTTTTCTATTCCTATGTTCCTTCAATTAGGATGATGGCCTCCAATTCCATCCAAGTTGCTGTAAAAAACATGATTTCATCCCTTTTTTGGCTGAATAGTTTTCTGTTGTGCATACATACCAATTTTCTCTATCCAGTCATGCTGATGGACACGTAGGTTGATTCCATATCTTTGCTATTGTGAACAGTGCTGCAATAACCATACTAGTGGCGGTATCTTTTATATATATTGATTTATTTTACTTTGGGTAGATACCTAGTAGTGGGATTGCTGGATAGAGTGGTAGATCTACTTTTAGTTTTTTGAGAATTCTACATACTGTTTTCCACAGAGGTTGTCCTAATTCACATTCCTACCAACAACGTATAAGTGTTCCCTTTTCACTGTCAACACATATTGTCTTTTGACTTTTTAATAATGGCCATTCTGATGGGGTAGGGTAGTATCTCATTGTGACTTTAATTTGCATTTCCCAGATGATTAGTGATGTTGAGCATTTTTTCATATGTTTCCTGGCCATTTGTATATCTTCTTTTGAAAAAAGGTCTGTTCATACCTTTTGCCCATTTTTATTGGGCTTTTTAAAAAATCTTATCTAAAAAAATAACAGGGCATTTTAACGTCATGTAGTGTAAGTGAAAGAAATTAAAATGGAAGTTAAAATAACTGAAATCACAGCACATATTTTATTTAGGATACACAGGATTTGTGAAGTGTGACAAATGCTACTTAAAAAATGTATTTGGGTACTCTCACTTACCGAAAACACGTTAACTATCTACCCTGTAGGTGTTTTTATCTGTTGTCATGTGTGTGCATTTGGGAATATTTAAAAACATATTTTTTTCATACTGATTAGGCGGAAATACATAGATTTTCTTTTGTAGTAATTTTTTTTTGTATTATGTGCTTTAGTGAAATATATCACCAAAGACTAAATTCTAATGTTAACAACTTAATAACCCCCAAAATAGTGTAACTGCATCAGACCAATATGGCTCAACTTTTCTGTAACAAAGTCTTGAGTTGTTTTGCACTTGCTATGGGCCCCCAGGTCACCTGAGCATGCTCAGATGAACCAAATGTGAAACCAGGAGCAGAAGAGGCTAAGTGCTTGGTCTGAGGAGCAGTGACTGAATTAAGAACTGGAGACCACATGGCAGGATCCAGGATCCAATCAGGTCAAGCCCTGGTATCACTCTGTGGCAGGATCCAGCGCGATCGCACCTCATTACCCTACACTTACAAATCTCGACACAGCCCCCAGATCAGGGAGACAGCTTTGAGCGTTTTCTCCTGTGTCCTTTCTAGTCAATTCACTTGCTTTTCTTTTCTCAAAACCTGGTGGCTTGGTATTGGTTCAATGTGCATAGGGCAGTGAGCCCACTGATTGCCAGGTAACAGTAACAGGACCCACCACACCGTTATGGTACGTAATGATAAAAATGAGCAGTTTAGAATGTTCTAGAAATAAAAAGAGGCCAGGTGTGGTGGCTCACGCCTGTAATCCCAACTCTCTGGGAGGCCGAGGCGGGAGGATTGCTCAAGGTCAGGAGTTCAAAACCACCCTGAGCAAGAGCGAGACCCCGTCTCTACTATAAATAGAAAGAAATTAATTGGCCAACTAATATATATAGAAAAAAATTAGCTGGGCATGGTGGTGCATGCCTGTAGTCCCAGCTACTTGGGAGGCTGAGGCAAGAAGGATTGCTTGAGCCCAGGAGATTGAGGTTGCTGTGAGCTAGGCTGACGCCATGGCACTCACTCTAGCCTGGGCAACAAAGTGAGACTCTGTCTCAAAAAAAAAAGAAAAGAAAGAAATAAAATAGACATTTGATTATTTCATCTCATTCATCACACCATTAACTAATTTCACCTAAATTATGTTGAGGATCAGAAAACAATAGCCCAAAATGAAGGCTCAGAAGCAAAAGTTTTCCTCTGACTTTCCCCTGCTCTCCTGTCTCCCAGTTCCATTCTCGCCCAACACTAACCATAGACACTAGACTCCCTCTTCCCCAAGGCAGGCAGAAACCAGAACTCCTTTTCCCCTAAGCCAGCCATAAAGCCTGAAAACATTACTCTAACTTTCTCTCTGCCTTTCCGTGTAAACACTGGGCAGAAAGAAATTATCTAACGTACCTTCTTTGACCCTCCAGAGAGCGTGTGCTCAATACCCAGAAGGAAGGATGCATGCTTAGAGAGGTCAAGAAGAACCTAGATGGACATGCCTTGCTGGGTTTCCTTAGTCTATTAGCAGATCACAGCCTTTTTGTACAGTCATAGTTCTACATGGCTGTCCACACTTTGTTGAACCTAAACAAAAAAATGGACAAATTTCCCTGTATCTTGGGTCTTTATTCTGAAGACTTCCTTGTATACATGAAATAAATTTATATGCCTTTTTGCCAATTAATCTGTATTTAACCAGTTGATTTTTCAGCATACTTTCAGAGGGCCAAGGCCTTTCCCCTATAATAACAAACGGCAATGTTTACAACCTTGTTTTCTTTATGGGCTTTTCATAAGGGCAATAGTTTTTATATGAAGTATAGGCGTGGGCATGACTTTGACCTAAATTAAGCAATATTACCTCCACATCAGTCCAAGCATATATTAATAAAAAACTAGAGACTTGAACTTGCTACCACCCTCTAGGAGCTACCGTATATAACCTAATAATGGAACTTTGATTCAAAGTTTGAAAAATGAGTAAGGAAAAGAAAAAGAGCACAGTAACTGAAAATGTCTTTATATTTAAAGACAGCTATTCAGAGAGTCATATCAATACAAAATAAAATTACAAGTCATTTGTCTAAATCAGATATCTACATGTTTTCTATAAAAGGTCAGGTAGTAAATATTTTAGGTTTTGTGGGTCTCAAATGGTCTCTGTTGCATATTCTTTTTTTATTTTTTACAATCCTTTAAAAATATGAAACAATTTTTTGCTTGGGCCTATAATATAATAATAAGCCATGAGCTAAGGTTTGTCTACCTCTTATCTAAGTAAATATTTAATTTTAGTATACACACGTGAAAGAGGCACCTCAGTTCATAATTGCTTAATGCCAAAGACATCATAAATTGAATTAATAATTAATTGAATTATATATTATGAAATATTTGTTTTTGAAAATTTTATTTTTTGCCTTATTTTTAAAAAAAAGCTTGCTTATGTTGATTCCACATTCTTTCTTTAAAACTTGTGGATATAATGTCTTACTTTATTTTTCTAGTCATTTAAATATTAGATATTAAAGAATGATTACAATACATCAATATTTATCACTTGGGGCTTGAGTCCTTTATACTTTTCTGGGATTTTAATTAAACGAAAAAAGAATTGTAGAATTTACCCATTGTACTTATATGTTTTTCATTGATCTCTCTTTGACCTTACGTTGTTAAACACTAGTACAATTTCAAAAGTACAAGCAATGAAGATTCCCCTTAATGGAATCAATGAAGTATCCTCTTAATGCCTGTACTCTGATTTCCTCACAAAAAATTCACACAAAAATTAAATGTTGTGTTTAGATTTCAATTTTCATAGCTGAAGCTTTATCTCTTCAATATTTTAATACTTTCTATTTTTTATTTCTAAAATAAAAGCCTCCAACATATTTAAGACTTTTTTTAGCTTATTGAAACCTTATACATAACCTTACAGAGACTTGGAAGTTGAAAATTCAATGCCATATTTTTTAAAAGCTTGAATGCTAAAATATTTTATGTTGTTATGTTTAAGAAAGAAACATAAGTTTAAATGGTATTGAACCCTCTGAAGGATAGGATAGAAAATATATGTTGTATAATTCGACTTTATTGCATGCCCTAAACACTAAGGTGATTAAGCTCATTAGGATAAGAACTAACAAGATATTAATTCAATAAACATTTTTGACCAATGAATTCTAGCAATATCCACAGTTCTGCTAATATTCTTTTTACCATATGATGTTTCCTGAATACCATAGGAAAACCATAGGTTATTCCTAAATAAAATGAATTTAGTAACTCACTGTTAGGAAAAAAACCTAAAATAAATCCAGGTGCCCAGGAAAAAGTTATGAAAACTTTTAGGCCAAGTTCTAATCATAAAAGTACTCCATGGGTTGCAATGACATCAATGACCATCTTCTTCGGCACCTCATGTGATTACCAATGAAACAAACCTGGTCCAAAATTTCTTGTTCACAATATTTTTATTTGTTCGATATTCATAGCTAAATTTCCATGC